ACAGCCTCAGATTTTAAGGCTTCTACCACATCTGCACTAAATACCTCAACCTCAGTCCCTGAATAGTGAACACTGTTGCTTCTGGAACAACCTGGGGTGAATATGTTAGGATAATACTTTCCTCTCTGATATTTCAATAAAAGCTTCAGAACAAATATTTTATCTGTCAGCTGGCTTCTACCTCTCACCCTTTGCTTCCTCACAGGTGTCTCAGCTTTTCCTCAGGTGTTGAGTATCCCCACCATGTGTATATCTCATGCCTTGGTAATTAGATTAAGAGAGGAAGATTATTTATGAGTATATTAACTACTATAAGTCATCAGATATCAGCATTTCTTATCTGCTATGGCTGGCAGTTAATATGCAATGGGGAAACTCCAATTACCAGAGTAGATCAGGATCAGGAGAACATGAATGACCTTTGTGCCCAAGAATAGGAGTCAAGGAAAAAAGGGCAAAAATGGGGCAGAAGAGTGGCAGGTGGCACAAGCAAAGAGAAGAATGGCTCGTGGGTTGTGCAGGCAGAAGGAAGAACCTTCTCAAAGGAGAGTTTTGAGAGCCCTCCAAGAGCCACACAGGACAAGATGAATGGGTGAGTTACAGCAGGCAATTCCACTCCTCTTGCAAAAATAAGCTGAGGAGCAGATTATCTGACAGTCCCTCTGAAAGGAAAATCGGAGTTGGCATCAGGAGAGGAATTCCTGTTTGAGTCACAGAATGTCAGAACAGTCTGAGGTGGAAGGGACCCAGCAGGATCATGGAGTCCAGCCCATGGAACTGAGACCTTGACATCATTAGCACCGTGCTCAAGCACCTGAGTTAATCTCAGAGTATTTCATCCTTAAATAAAATAAGACAAATCAGTCTCTAAAATGAAGACAGACAGTTCATGCAGGATAAGCAGAGTCCAAGTTCTCCTTCCTCTCTTTTCTCACTTCGAAAGAGGCAAACCCATTTTTTACTCCGCTGAAAGAAAAAGTTTTGCAACCTCATCTTGTGCCTTCCCTACGTCACAGCAATCTGAGGTTCCCACCATACACCACACACATGATCTGCTCCATCATCTCCCACAGAAAACCCCACGCCAGGAAGTGTGAAGCATCTGGATGACACTCTCTCCTCTGGATTGCTGATCTTTTCCTTATAAGAATAATCGTAATAAAAGGCTAATTTTAGCCTTGCACATGAGGAGCTGTGTGCTTGCCTTTCTCACACCAGGGTTCAGCTGCGAAAGTGTCAGCACAGCAATTATGGGCAAGGAATTTGCTGCCAAGTCAGCCAGTCCTGGTGCAGCCAAAAGTGGTCCCTCCTAACACAGTCCCAGCTTGCCAAGGTCCTCCTGCTGGTTCCTCACAGCTGAGGAGGTGCCTTCACTTCCCTGCTCCCCTGCTTTTCTTCCCCAGACTCCTTTGGGGCTGGGTTCAAGAGTGGTTTTGGCTTCAAGGAGAACCTGACCGAGGTGAGTGAGAATTGGTGAGAAGGAACCGTTCTGTGCCAAACCAGATGGTCCTGCATGGAAGATGTTCAGCTCCCCTCTGCTCTCTCCTCTCCTTTGAATCTGCAAATCTGTTTGTGCCACTACTCAGCCAAGACTTCTCCAAAATCCCCTTAGACAGGCCCTGCAGGGCATTTGTGGCTAGAACTGACTGAGGAAACACCAACACGTTGCTGGACAATATTTGCTTTAGGGCTTACCAATGTCATCCAAATTTACAGTTCAGATAAACCAACCCCATGAAAAGCTGTAAGTTTACACAAAGGAAAAAGAGGTAAATTAAACCAAGAGGTATTTTGAGTTCCAGGTATCCCTGTAGTTCCTTAACCTGATGTAAAAAGATTCCTGACTCAGTTGGAACTGGAAATATTTTCCAAGGCTCGTGAAGAGTTCAGGGTTTTCCAGCTTCAAGACCATGGCAGGGGCTGAGCCCCACTGTTTCAGTGGAGACCCACCTACAGTCAGGAACATGAGGATGACCCAAAATTGATTTCTTAATTTCTATTTCTGCACTGTACCTGCCAAATCCTGGTCCAGAAGGGCCCCTGCTCCTCGGCATTTCATGCCAGACCACGACAGGAATGTCCCAAGGAGCCCAAACACAACTGCAGGAGTCAGAGGAGGACACTGACAGTTTAGAATAGAAATTCCATTTCCTCTGATCCTTCATTAGGAAGGATGGAAAATCCTAGCCTTGCTTCCTTTTATTAATTTTCATACAGGTATTTTTTCTGTCAAGGTCTTGTAAGTTTGTCTCAGTTCAAGATTTTGTATTTTCTACAACAGCCTGAAGCTTTCTTGGGCAGTGCTGTCATCAACAGCTCCTTATCCTTCTACCCCAGTTCTTTAAGGAAAAACTCAGGAACTCCCCATATAACACAGGGACAGACATCCATTAGAACTACATCAAATAAACCCCAACCCCAAAAAAGCAAGAGCTGAAGAAAGGTACTGAAAACAGTTTGTTTTATTTCCAGGATCAAATATTACAATAGGACATTTACATATATTTATAAAAAATGCAGCAGTTGTGTATATAGATCAGAGGTTTCCTTGAGTTTGGTCCCTCCCAGCACAGTGAGCTGAAAACTTCCAAATTAATCCTCTCCCTCCTCCCATGTGAAGTTGCCATTATTGAAGAAAGTGACCACTGTGAGAAGCTGTTCCTTAGAAACTGGATGTTCCCCAGTTCCAGGAAACAGCCTCATTTTTAAAAATCATCTCTCCTAGAGTCTGGTGTCTCTGAGTTGAGTTTTACCCAGATGTTCTTCATATAAATCTGGTCTATAAAATAGCACCTCATCCCCTGCTCCACAGTTTCAGTTTGACCCCTTCAATGTGGGCACCATTTCACAAGCAGTTACAAAGTGACTTTTCTCTGCACTGCAGCCACTCCCAGCCATCAGACAGGACCAAACCCCGAATTTGTGTCCCCACTCACAAGGTGCCCATGGAACACAGTGGATACCCGAGGCAGGGGGAGGCACTGCTGGGAGGTGCAGTGTAAATACATATGGCTCTGTTGGTTGGGAGTGCACAGACACTGAGCATCCCACGGACAAGAGGAGGCAGGAATAAAAATCAGCACAGAAAGGGCAACCATGAACCTCACCAGCTCCAAACCCACACGGGCCTGGGGCTGCTTCAACAACACAGGGCTCAGCATCAGTTTGTCTTTGAAACAGGAGCTGTTCCATTTGCAGAAAATCACTTGTGAAAATAAATAAATAGAAAGGGTGAGGGAGAGCAGAGGCTGGATTTGAGCCTATGGGAACAGCCAGACAAGGCACAGCCAGCCCTTAAGGACAGTGGCTTTGCACTTCACCCACCTAGAGCACATCTCTGCCACCCCTCCTCCTCTTGCAACACTAGAGTAACTGTTTTATCAACTTCACTAAACAGGGATTAAACCAGAACAAAGTAGTGACATTTAATACAAACTAAAAAGGAATAAAAATGGAGTGATGAGGCCCTGAAATGACACAGATCTTCTCACACACATGGACATTCCTACACAGGTCCCTATGTTCATATTTCATTTTTATGTGGTTTACCAAAAAAACCACCACGTTTCAAGCATCTCTGCAGCATTTGCTACCTGACAAACAGCCCAAATGCTGCCCTGTCCCCAAAAGAAAACTGTTTTAATTTAGCCCTTGCTGCTCCAGTCCCAGTGAAGCAGCTCAGTGCTCTAACAGGAACAGGAATTTGAGACCCTTCAGCAGAGAGGCTGAGTTACTAAAACCTGCAACAAATTCAGTTTCTGCAAAGGTACAAACCACAGCACCAGGGCAAGCTGAGTGCACAAATCAGCTCTGAAGGACGTGGACCCTGTGAAACACAAGCTGGACAAAGGAGAGGTGTCACTTCCCCCTAACAGTGAGGAGAAGGTCGGGGAGCTCTGGGAAGAGCTGGTGGAAAATTCCTGTTTAGATCTACTTGGGAATAATGGTACACTTGGATGCCTTTTACAGACAACTGTATTTTACAAGGCTACCTGCAGATCCTGGACATTAAGATCAGTGGTGTTAACTGAACTGATTTACCAGCAAAAGCAATGCACTGCAGTCCATGAATGTCAGAAATCATAAAAATCATAGACTTTAGTTCAAAGCCTAAAGAAAATAACATAAGTATGGCCAGAAATGTTTCGCCCAGCCTCTCCCTGCCTTTTTTGGGTCAGTGGGGAATGCTGTGAGGTTGAGGCTGGTCAATCAGCTTCACTTCAGAGCATGTAGCATCAGGAAGATCCAAAATCCTTCTGTGGGGCATAAATGTGTCAGCTGCACGTGGCAGGGAATGCCAGAGCTTGTCCCACCTTCTGTTCCAGGGTCCTGGCTGTCACTGGCACTACTGGACATCCCATCCCAAAACAAAGCTGTGTTAGATGAAGAGCACAGGCAAAGGGAACATCTCCACCAGCAGCAAGGAGCTCCAGCTTCAAACACAACAGCCCTGACCAGTTCTCCAGTCAGAAAAACCTGCACTGCCCACATGCACTGCTGCTCCTGCTGCCCCACCAGCCCCTGCAGCACCACATGCAAATCCTGACACCCACAGGAAGCCACAAACCACAGCTTTTGAAGGATTGGTTTCCTTTGTCCTTCACAGTTCAACATCCTATTTCTCAATCAAATTTGACACAATTTTTCCACCAAAGGCAATTTGAGCTTCAGATTTCACATCTAGAAGGGACTGTTTAAATGCTCTTTAAACATTGCCCAACCCATCACCTTCACTGCCACGAGCTGTCCCAGGCAGGACTTGCAGAACACATTCCTCCAAGGGGATGAAGAGCTGAAGAGGTTGGATCCTGGTTGGTGCAGTTTCTCACCAGCTTTCAGCCCCCACAGCACTGCTGATGTGTGGCACTGGGTTTGTTTGGGTTGGGAAGCAGAGGAATGAACAAAGAGAAGAGCCACGTGCAGGAATACATATTCTGTGAAGTTTTTTTCTCTGTTTCTTGCTCTCAAAGCAAAGCAAAAGAAAAGTGATAGAAAGAACCACACTGTGACAGAAATAAAAAAGCCCAACCCAGGATCAGAGTTTCCTGGAACAGAACCAACTCCTAGAAACCATGAGAAAATGCCATTTTCAGTGTAAATGTTCAACTTCCCTATCTTCTTTCCCCTCTTTGAGCAATTCCTGGTGTCATCACAAATTTCAGCCCAGCCCCACATTCAGGAGCAGGCCTGGGAAGGGCAGGGGAGGGAAGGTACCAATAAACCATACCTGGGACTTGTTATTCCAACCAGACAGCTGGAGCTGCTCCAGAAGTTTTAAGTCTATGTGGAAATGTGAGTTAGGGATCTGGATATCCAGGAACTAAAGGATCCTTCAGTCTGGAGGTGCCACTGCTGCTTCACAGGCCAAACACAAGACCCCCCCTCACTTCCCCATGCTGGGAGCAGCCTCCACACCTGGGGGTCCTTACAAACCAAAGATGACATCTGGTGTCACATCAGCCACTGATCAGGAAACTGAGATGAGACTCTGCTTTCCTGACACTGCATCCTGCAGCAGGAAGGGAAATCAATTTCTCCAATTGCATGATTACATGTCAAACCTCAATTAGGAGCAGGAGACAGCTGTGAGCTGAAGTTTCCAAGGGGAACCACAGACATTTCCTGTGATTTCTTGCATTTCAAGGTTCCAAAGTACAGATGCTAGTAGGAAATCAAAGGCAACATGTATTGAAAAACTGGAATATGTAAATTTCTGACTACTAAAGTCTTTAACAAGGACAATCATCTGAGAGTGGCAGAAAGTCAGCAGGGACTGATGCCAGGTCCCATGTGCCTTTCTCCTCAGTGACTGAAGACTACATTAAACTGAATTTTTAGCTGTAAATACACAAATCCACCACACCAGGCCGAGGGCTGTGCCAGTTACCTCCTGTCCCACTGCAACATCTGCTGGAACACCAACTGACCAACAGCTCCATGTCTAGAGAAGACACTGGAGGAAAACCAGGGCACTGACTTGTGGTGCCAGCTTCCAGAGCTGAAAGGAAAGCCTGCACCCAGGAGCAGCCTTCCATGCAGCCCTCCAAATTTAGAGTAAGTGACAGTACATGAACATGGAAACAGAACAAAAACCATCCCAGGGAACTCAAGCCACCAGGCTGGGAGGTGTACTATGAAGCATTAATTATTATGAAGAATTAACTTATAACACTGACAATGCTGTCAATGCTGTAAAACCACTCACTCCTAGAAAAACTGTCCCAAGGAATAAAGGCAACCGACTGTCAGGTCTCTGTGGCAGGTGTTTTCAGGGAATCCAAAACCTTTACAGTACCCTTGTCATTTGCAAAATCCTGAGAGCAAGTAAGGAGACACTTAGAGGATGCTGGGAAGAGAACATGGATAACCCCCTCATTCCCACAGAGGAGCTGGTTCTGCTCCAGCACTGGACTGACAGCTTTCCCTCAGGGCCAAGCAGTCAATGCCATATGGAGAACAGCTGGATTTCTGGGGGGTTGGTTGGTTTTTTTACTATGTCCACTGGCAATTTAAAGCAGGAGGTAAACATGCAGGCAATCTAGAAGCCTTTGAATTAGGTGGGGCAAAGTATTTTACCATTGCTCAACCCAACTCCTTTCCAAAACCAGAATGCTGGGTAAGAGAAGGCTGGAAGGTTAATGGAGACCTTTTGTGTAGGGAATCCAAACAAAGGAAAGACTGTCCTGAAAGTTACAGGGAGATGCCTCCGTGCCTTATCACACACTCCTTTCAAAAATAAATTAAACAGAACAGATTTAAGAATAGCAGCGAGAAGGGTTTGTGTATTATGGCCACTCCAAGCTCCAGCATGCTGGATACACAGATCACTGTTTTACTTTATTCCAGGAAAGCAGAGGAAAGATGTTCTTCCCAATGCTCTCTGCAGCTGAGGAAGAAAATAAAACTGAGCACTCTCATTTTGGTCACTAGAGTGGGAGTAGGGAGGGAGAGAGAAGAGGAGGAGGGAGAAGGAAGGGCCAGTCAGCTGCCTGATTCCAGCACTGCAATCCCATGACCCTTAACTGCATATTTAACCACTCTTGTCCCAGGCAAAGAGGAGAGGGAGGAAGGCTGGGAGAGCTCAGGCCACAGTGCTAATTCCTTTCCTGCACAAAGACAGTCTCTTGAGGACACAGGCCTGCCTCCTGTAACGTGATCTCATAGTCCAGGTGGGAGAGTTTCCTCCGAGGGAAGTTGGTGAGCAGTTCAAAGCGTTCGTTGGGGTATCCTTTGGACTGGACGTGCTTCACAAGAGCCTGGGGAGAAAGGAAGGCAAAGCACTGTCACAGAATTCAAAATGTTAAAAAAAAAATCCTGGGGAGAAAGGAAGGCAAAGCACTGTCACAGAATTCAAAATGTTAAAAAAAAAATCCTGGGGAGAAAGGAAGGCAAAGCACTGCCTCACAATTCAGAATGTAAAAAAAGTCCTGTTCTCCTTTAAAAAGGAAGTTTGGAATCACGGACAAAGAAAATTTTAGAATTTGGAGCTTTGCATAGAGTACAGACCCTCTTTAACATTTAATTTGGCCTGCACATGCTATGATTAATCACAAAAACTAATTACCAGTGGTCCCTTACCTGATTCTTTACACACAAAGTAAATTATACATAAAACTATAGATAATGCACTAATGCAAGAGAGCTGAATTCCACATCACACGTTCAAGTCAGAGTGAAACAATCTGAAACAAAAGCCTTAAATAACCCAAAATAGGAGCCCCCTCATGTGTTTATGAGATATTGACCTTACCCTAAAGCTAAAAGCCACCAAAGAAGCATTTTGGTGAGGCAGCATTGCCAACATAAACGCAGAAATTTTATCTTTTTTTTTTGCCTTCAAGAAGCAGGAGATTTTGGGGTTGTTTGATTTTGGATTTGTAAAGATCTTTTCAATTCAGTGGCTTCTCTGCCTACAGAAGCAACTGGGTCAGGATACAGAGCATTGGGATGAGGGGCTCACATCCCAAAAACCAGGCATGTCAGGAAGAGCCCATGTCTGTGCTGTAGTGAGAGAGATTTCCCAAGTTCACCAGGAAACAGCACCTAAAGCTGGGAACCTAAAACACAGAGAGGGGCAGAGAAGTGGGGACTGGCAGAAGAAAAGAGGATAGAACAACAGAGCAAGACATGGGCAGGAGAAGTTGGCTTTTCCAAGCTTTGGTGGGTGCAGAACAGCCAGGCAAGTACCAGCACGGAAGCTCCTTCCAAATTCATCAAAATCCACACCCCTCTGGCATGAGGAGACTGCTGCCCCAACCTCCTCCTTTACCTGGACTGCTCTCCAAAGGCTTTGCAAATTCCCTTTGTGTCTGGTAGGGAATGCAAAGAATGGGAAGATTTCCTTTTCAGGCAACAAAGATGATCAAAATTCCTTCACAAACCACTGAATTTAAATATTCAGCCAAGTTTCCTGCCAACATCCCTCTCTGTCCCTTCACAGGCCAGTCTTTCCTGCACACCTGAAACACTTGGCAAACCAGGGGTATTCAGGATGTGGAGGAAGGGCTGAGCTGCTGAACAGAGTAAAGGCAACTTAATTTGCACACAATGAGCAACTATAAAAAGGCAGTGAGGCAGTATTGCCTTTATTTTTTTTTCCTTGGAAGGAAGAAAGGGCATCATGGTAATATTGGAAGCATAAGCACCTCATGGAAATAATGTGTGTAAAGAAGCCAGTGCTTCATCAATAACAGCACAATGATTAAAAATAAAACATTTTTAAAACCAGTGTTGGGGAGTATCATCAGTTAAAACTCCTGAAGTGCAATTGTCTCCTTAAGCAATTTCTTTTGCTAGTTCTGGCCAGCTTTAAAATGGAAGCAATTAAAGGCTGAAAAAAATCAGCATGAAAATGATGCTCACAAAGAAACACCTGAGACTCAATGTGGATCTGACTGAAAGGCTCCAGAAGATCACATGAGATGAGCACAAATGCTGCTTGCTCAGCTCTGCAACCAAAGATGTCTTTACCCACAAACCTTGACTCAGCTAAATTCCTCTGCTGACTGTAGAGCAGAAATCATATGCTGAGATAAATTTCCTTAAACTTCCACAGCCCATAAAAGGAGCCAAACCAAAAGTCAGGATTATCAGGGATATTGCAATATTACACTTTTGTACTACCTAAATGAATTGCTAAGTATTCAAAAGTTCTACATGTTTAATAATATTTACTTAACAAGCTGCATTCAAAAAGCAGTCAAGTTTTTTTTTCCTTTTATTTTCAAGCAGGAGAGACAAGGATGAGAACATGAGCTGAGGACACATTCCTAGAGTTGCTGGCTAGGCAATAACCCCAGTTTCTGTAAGAGACAGGACACTTTTCTCCCAAATCTACACAAAATCCTTCTGGATGAGGTGTGCTTTTGCCCTCCCTGTGACTCCAGCTGTTAGACTGATTACATTTAAATGAGCTTAACTGGCCACTGTGTCCTGAAAACTCATGGCAAACAGGAGCACAGGAACCTCTTTACACTCTGCTCCCAGGTAAGCACCTGCAAAATTTTGATGGAAATGCCATTCACACGGACTTCTCCAAGGTAAGGAGCCCAAAGCACAGTTGAGATGCACATCTGAGGAACAGTAATTAAATAATACTGTAATAAATTTGTTTTGGGAGAACTTCCTCCAAAGTCTGCTCCAACATCCATGTCCGGAAAGGAGGGTGGAAGTGTGATGGAAGAGATGGAGAATGAGAATGAAGAGTTTTGCCTTTGATTTTACCATGGGAACCAACGACTTTTAGAAACAAAGCCCCAGAAATGAGGAAGCTGAGAGCATTTTAGGGTAACTAACAATTAATGCAAAAGCCATTTACAGTCATTTTATAACGGAAATGAGCAGTGTGGGGATTGAGGAAGACACTGCAGTGTACACAAAACCCAAGCTGCAGTGGAGACACACAGAGCCAGTAGTTATGAGAGGAATGACATGGGAAACAGGGCAAGCACTCCCTGGATACATCTCTCCCACTAGATCCAATTCCAGCAGTGTCACCCCAGGCATAGAAATTCTCCAGTTTCATCTTTACTCAAACAAAGATTCCCAAAGATTCCACTCACCAGAAGTTTAGCTTGTTCAGGCAGTGAAACTTGTTCCCTCTTTCCATCTGGATACCTCAGCATCAGCTGTGCCTTTGGTCCTACACAAAGGAAGTTACCAAGGTTAACACCAGGGCAGCTGAGTTGTGCTCCTGTGTAGATTTGAGGTGGGACAGCACCAGCAGGGTGAGGGACTGGAGACAAACACAAGGTTCCAGTCTGTGGAGATAAATTTCTACCACAGTGCTCAAAATACACACATGAGGCTCAGGACTCTTCCAAAGCAGCAGTGGCTGAGCCCAGCCAGTGTGCCCAGGGTTACACCAGAGTGCACTTTACTCCTGGGCAGGACACGAGCTCAGGGACCCAGAGGGCTCTGCAGGCTCAGCCATTGCTGAATCACTCACATGTCTGCTGGCAAGGAGGTAGGAAACCAGAAGGGATGAAACCAGACTTGGCAGCCTATGAACAGCTTCAGGCAAAAAAAGCCACAACAAAAGCCATAAGAAATGGGCACTTACCATTCACATCCAGGCCCCGGAATGCACTTTCAGGCTTGTCAGGTGACTCCTCCAGTGCCCCTGCATCGATGCAGGGCAGGACTCTGTGGTTTGATGCTGTCCCAGGCTCAGTCCTTGCAGAGGGCTCAGGCTGAGGCCTCCGGCTCTCCTCTTTTTTATACCCCAAGTCCTTGTGTGGAGACTTCCTCAGCTTGGCTGGGATCTCCGACTCCTCCTCCTCCTCAGATCCACAAACAGAAATAAACTCTTCACTTCCAGAAAAAAGCTCTGACTCCGACTCCTCGTCCGACCGGCTCTCCTGCTTGGCCTGGGAGGAATCAAAATGTGTCTCCTGGAGCGAGGCTCTGATGGCAGCTTCCAGCTGGCTGTCCTCACTGGCATCGATGAGGCTCTCCTGGGGGATGCAGACAACACATCCATCACAACTGCTTTCAAAGATGTACTGAAAACCAAAAGGACATCAGTCTTCCAGAAGGGAAGCCACTAAACGTGTCAGGAACACTCAGCAGGGAAAGCTAGGCATGCTGTAATTATTTAATGGCTTCTCCCTGGAGTTCTGCATGGAGTAATCAATATTCCTTTCACACTCTGACTGCTAAACCCAAACCAAGTGCTGAAAGCACCAACAGTGACCCCGGGAGAAGGCATTCCCTGGCATGTTGTATTTCTGCATGCCCCTGCACTAACTCACTGAGTCTGTCTGGGAAATCAGGAGAGCTGGATAAACACAGGTGTCTTGGGTTGCAATACAGGATGGAACCAAAAAGTGTGTATTCTGTCACCAGCTGTTAAACCAGGTGTTGCAGTGTTCTTTATCTTTTCCCCAACCCATCCTTCCTCCAGGAGATCTCTCCTGTTAATGGCCATGGAGTCCCAGAGGATGACTGATAAAATTCCATCATCCCATTGGGAGATGCTCCACCCAGGGGGAGGAGCCAAACATTCCCTACCCAGATAAAAACTGAGATTTGGAACATCAGAGCAGCCTTTTCCCACTGGATCCCAGAGGAAAAACAGAGCCTTCTACATCATCACTGGAGCTCTGCAGGAAAACTGCACCTTCTCCAGGAGCCCTGCTCCACCAGAACCACATCTGTCACTGCAGGAGGATGCAGCCACCATTGAATGGGACTGCTGCCAACACCCTGAGTGACTGATGGGGTGTCAGGTTGGATTCTGACTCTGTCAGTGCTTTGGGTTTGTTCTCTGTAATACTGTATTTCTATTTTAATTTTCCTAATAAAGAACTGTTATTCCTATTCCCACACCCTTCCCTGAGAGCCTCTTAATTTCAAAATTATAATAATTTGGAGGGAGGGGGTTTACATTTTCCATTTCAAAGAGAGGCTCCTGCCTTTCTTAGCAGACACCTGTCTTTCAAACCAAGACAACAGGTGAGTGTTCCTTGAGGAGCCCCACACTTACTGAGCGGGAGCATTTCTGGGGAGGGCTGCTGGAGTGGCCATCCAGCTGGCCATGCTCACTCAGGAACCCGGTCACTTGGTCCAAAAAAGAAGTCACATCTAACTGGTGCCACTCCACAAGCTTCTGGCCTAGGGAACAAAAAGTGGAATCAAACAAAATTTCAGCAAAATGCTGCAGTTTAGTGGTCAAACACCAACTCACTGCTGCAAGAATCCCCGTTTGAGGAACTGCAGCTTCCCACAGGCTGATAATTATGGAGCTTCCTCCTTCCACTCCCTTGAAAAGGGACAGACATGGAAACAGACACAGTTTATTTCCATTTGTTTCTTTTTAGCTATGGGAACATGAGCACAGAATGGTGAATTTGGCCTTGAAATGAATGAACACAAACCCACTGAGTTTACGAAGAAGCATTTCTCTATTCTTGCCAAATTGATTCTAATTCTTGGCAAGCATTTGTTCCTAGAAGTAAAGTGCTAAGAAAAGTTTTTATTACTTCAGCTGCAACATTAAAAATACATGTATTTTGGGTGGTTTAAGTCAGCTACAAAGACGTCTCAGCTCTGATCACAGACACTATCACTGCAGTTCCTAGAAGCAGGAGACCAGACCAGCATTATAAAACCAGACAGCTGCATCATGTGATGATAAAAGAAGCTGCTGGTTACAAAAGAAAAAGCAACAACTTTGAAAGAGCTGGAGGGAGAGGGAGAAGTTTGACTGTTCAGTAAAAAAACAGCAAAACAAAACAAAACTTCAAAGCCAAAATGGTATTTCAAAATTAAGATCCAATTTAAAGTCATTGCTGAGCCTCACAAAGCTCTGTGGGAGGAGCAGAGAGCAGATTCATGTAGCACTTACAAATATTGTAGTTATTCAACACATGATTTCAAGAAGCTTTTGAAAGACTTAAAAAAAAGAATTCAGAGTTTTTCCACCAGATGGAACTATTTTCACTTTCTAAGCAAAATACTCGCTGAGCTTCAAATACACAAAATTTCTGCAAGTTTTGGGAGTTTTATTCCCTTAGTTCCTCTGGGAACACGCTGAGTCAGTCCTTCAGGTCTTGAAGAGATTCTTCACCCTAATGTAGCATGAACTGCAGTGGAAGGTATTCCAGCCTACAGGAGTCAGTCCTTCCCATGGGATAACTCCAGGTAAAGCAGTTGCCACTTGTCTTACCTGTCCTGGGATCCAGGATGGAGACATAAGGGAAGTCTGCTAATTTATAGAACTGTATGTACCGCTGTCCTTCCTCACTGTCGTGGTACACCTACAAAATTGGGCAGATTAGTGGCTGGAGAGGGAACACAAACAAATTGTACCTCGAAAATGTACAGTTTTTCTCTCTTCTACAACATAAACTGCAAATGGTACACGAAGCTCTTGGTAACTCTGACAAGCTGTAATTAAGCCTCTAGCTCACCATGCATTGGAAGCTATGTGGTTACATCTTGATTGCACAAGTGAAAGGCAATTTATGCCTTCAAATGCATATGAATTACATCTCCATCATAAACTACATACACTCCTTGAAATACATCTTTCCTGCAGGTTTGCCAAGACAATTCCATCTTTTCCAAAGAAAACAATTTTTTTCCCACTGCCCCATCTACCAAGGCACCAAGTTACCCACACATCCATCCCCAGACAATTTCTCACCTGCCAAAAAATGAAGTGGTCCCTGATGATGTTCTTCACAGCCTCATTGCTCCACACATCACGGTTGAGGCACTGGCAGGCGAAATCTTGCACGTTCTGAATGTTGATCATGAGCCACTTGTTCTGCATCTGACCACACTCCTTGGCCTGGAAGCAGAAGGAAAAGCTTGGTTAGATCAGGCTGAAGGGCCAGACACCATCGATGCCAGCAATGATCAGAGATGGCTTCTACCACTGCCAGACCTTCACCAAACCCTTTCACAGTGAGGAGGATGGACAGAGCTAGTGAAAAGGCACCCACAAAACAGAAGGCAGGGCTGAAGGATCTGCTTTAAATGAGCCTGGTTGAATTACAGAATCACATCGATGAACAGAGCTGCTGCATTTCAACAAGCCAAGCACAGGGTGGGAAAAGCAACTCGGACCAGGGACACACATGGCGATGCTGAATAAAGAATTTACTGAGGGAAAAGTGCAGTCAGTCCCACTGATCTGACAACAAAGACCTGCTCAGTCTAAAGATAAACCCGTGCTAACCATCTAGTGAAGTAGGTTGCATAATTGACAGAGGACTTGCATTAATTCAACAGGACCCCTTCTCTGTGTGTTTTCTTTTCCTCTCCAAGTTTTGAGTTAATCTGTGACTGTCCAGCTGCCGAATTAGGCATCCTTTTTTGATGCTGCTTATCCAGACTGCAAGTGGGGAGGGAGACAGGAAGGCGCAGGAAGAAATCTTACTGGTTTGAGTCACAAAGCTGGCACTGTCTGATTGCTTGGTTGCAAGTTAATGGTAGGAGTTTGATCAAGAATGTAATTCTGATCGCTGAACTGTCATACCTGTTGAAAAAAAGAGGGCTAGATCAACAGCAGGAATGCTCTTACCACCTGGAAAGACTGGAACTGGCATAGGAACTCTTTGCTTAAAAAAAAAAAATTAAAAGTTATGCTCACCATCCTGCTGGTAATCTACTATTAAAGAATTCAAAGGGAAAAAAATATTCAGGGAATTAGGATGCTATGCAGGATTTTGCTGTTTGGGCACTACTTTGTTCCCCAAACCAAAGTTTTTACTTTTAAAATTAATTTTAGCCAGTGCAGTTTGGAACAGTCTGCCTGTCTATTGTGTGACAGACAGACGTGAATCCCACACACTCAGCTTCACCAAGGCAACAATCTCAGCCTACAGTCAGCCTGTGTGGCCAAGTGCCCTGCAGAGGAAGCTTTTATATTACTCAAAGGAAAAAAAAAAAATGAAGATAGAAGCATGGAATAGTCCTATTCCTACAAGGGGCCTCACACTAACTACTTACCACTAACTGACAGTGCCAGAATCCAGGTCACCAGGTGAGAAAAGTGGAAGGTGACACCTAAGTAACTGGCAAGGATCTTAAATGTGATTGTCATGCTTTTATTTAAAGGACTTGTTTTGAGCTAACTGTGCATTTTGAGAATTCTAAGAAAGCAGTTTGAGATAAGGGCTAGAGGTACTGCCCTAGTTTAAAGGGAACAAAAATCCTTATGTTATTTAAGTCAATTGAATTGCCTTAATCCTGTGTTCTCATGTAGTCTGTTAAAAGAACAATCTTAAAAATATGTAATTAGAAAGTTGGGAAGTACATCTCACTCTTCTACCCTCACTCTGTATATCTTTTAATATTAATGTAAACCTCTGGTTCTACCTCTCCTCTGTCCAGCTGAGGGCCTTGGAAGGATGCAAGCAGGAAATTCCACAGAGAAAATTTGCAAAACTGAGTTTTCAGCTGCAGAACAGGCAGAGCTTTTGAAACTACTTTTAACTTCCTTGTAAAAGCAAGCTTTGGATGGAACATTTAAAAGGACACAGTTAAACTGCTGCTATCTCACACACACAGCTCTTACTCAGCTCTTCTGATGGGGTGAAAGGACAAGAGTGTGAGGAGAAGAAAAAATGTGGATTTGGAGATTATATTATATTAGAGTCATTCTGGTAAGTGACAAGGCAACAAGGGAAGGCTCAAGAGCTGGCTTGTGTATCCCAAAAGTTGGGATCTGGTGGATTTAGATCCTCTGTTTCAATCACCTAGTTCCCCCCCCAATTCCCCTCCTCCTTCAAGGTATAAAGGTCAGTCCAGCACACACAGAGCCCACAGACAGGGCAGTACAGGACAGACACTGAGAGCAGAGCCAGGGGAGCCCAGATGTAAAAACCAACCCAAACCAATCCAATCTGTCCTAAGTGTGCCTTTACCCTTTCTGCCCAGTCACATACTTCATCATTACAACTTAGGGCAGCAAACCAGCAACCTGGTGAGACAGTCTGTGAGACAAGTCTTGGTTTATGCTCAGGGCTGGATCTCCTTGTGTAACTCTGGCTCCTGCACTACTAAAAATAAATTTTCCTCTCATTTGACTTCTCTGAACATGTACGGTTTAACAATGTTGGGGTGGTTCCTGCTGGCTCAGTTTTGTTGAAATGCAATCCTTTCAAGGCAGCAGAGAGAAGGAGGAAGTGGAGCCAGCACCTTGTGACTCTCTGGACATGTGTGTGACTCAGTGTGGAAGATAACAGCTGACAGAGAGTCAGAGCAGGACATTATCAAACAAGAAATCTCCTGTTTGGGCCACACTTCTCCTTCCTACCTGGGGCAGGGCACAGATGCTTTCAGCACCCAGCCACTCCTGAGCCACAGCTGTCCCTGCAGCTGTGCTGACCCAAACCAGGCTAGAAGCACCTTATGCACAGGTAATTGCTCCATTGGAACACAGTGACCAGATCAGCTTCCAAATTATTGCTGCTTTCTAAGTAGAAACAAAAAACCCCTCGGTCTCAGCTGTAAAGCAAGGAGCAGCTAAAAAAGGTTATTGTTAAATGGGGAAAAAAATATAGACAGATTTGAAACTCTGCAATATGACATTGTCACTTCACTGAAACCCTACTGAGTATTAAGCACAGAACTGCACACACCAGAACCATCTCTGCCCACAACAAGAAGTGCAAACTAAGTCAATTTGGTGTGTCCCCACCAAATTCAATCATCTCTCACATCACAGGCATGTAGAGAGAACACCTGCTATTCTTGAAAGCAGTCTGAGATGAGAACAAAACCACACTGTTCTCTATCAGACATGTTTGGTGTGCAATTTATTTATTCTACTTGAGTGATTTATTCCTAACAGATTCCACATTAATGGGAGAACTCTAGTTTAGTCAGTTACACACTGAACTTTACAAGAACAGTGATCATTAACTATCCTGAATGTGAAGCACAATGCTTTTTCATATGTAGCAGGTAAAAAAAAACCCAAACAATGTCATTCAACACTCTAAAATGTTTCTGCTCTGAGGTCAACCACATCTATTCCTAAAGCTAGAATGACTGAGTTAAAACGAAACAGACCCTTTTTGGGCCTTACTGGTAACAAAGCTTCTTTGTAACTGAAGAAAAATGAGGTTTCTTGGGGAAAAGTAAAGATAATTACATGTACTTACTATCAAAAACTAACCTTAAAGTACTCAAAGAGCAGCAACAGCTAATGAGCTACAAAGATACATAAGACCACATGTCACCACTTGTGCCAAGAAAGCCCTAAATTCTCAATGATTCTCTGATAAATGTACATAGCTCAAGCCTGGCAGAGTGTTCCTGCACACCCCTCCAGAGGCTGGAGCTCACCACACACCAGCCTTGGAAAGAAAACCCCATTTGAGATTGAAGCTTAACTACAAGAGCATCACAATGACAGTATGAAGTCTTTGATACCCCAGAATGTGATGAGCATCTCTGGTTTATCATATGGTTTATATCATATGGCATTAATCTCAGTACACAGAGAAGGGAGAAGCCAACAGCAGCTTGCTAGAGATGAATTTTGAGAGATTGTGGTCACTGAGGCCTGACACTGTCCCAAGCTGAAGCAGTAGAGCTGTTTGCAGTCAGAAAGGTAAAAAATCAACACAGCGAGAAGGTGTGAAGAGTTATATTGCAATGAAGCTGAGGAGCAGGAGTGTGAAATGAAGGTATCCCACAGGACAAGGAACTGTGCAAGAACCAGAAAGTGTACAGGTGTTTGGAACACAGGTACTGCACAGAACAAGGCAATGTGAGTACATACAAACCCCTTCCCCAACCCCAGCCCACCCCCTTCTTTAAATTACCTTTCAAGACTGAATAAGAATGCAGAGACTTTAGGACAAACAAATCCATCAATCAGTCATTTCACTCTCTGACACCACTCCTGACTGTGACAGATGCCACAAACAACATTGCTGAAGTCTTCACACATTTCCAGCAAGACCCAAGGAAAGACAAGCACCCATCTCAAACTCCACAGCAGAGCTCAGAGGGCACTGCTCCTGCAGCAGCAGTAGCTGTTGCCATGTGAGTTCCCCTTACTGGTGCCTTTAACCACACATTTCCTGGTTTCACCAACAGCTCTGGACCCCAGCAAGTACCATCAGCCTCTTCTAAAGTAAACCCTGCAGCACAGATCACAAGGCAGGGACACCTGAGCAACTGCTTCAGGCTGCTCCTCTGCCCCCAAGGCACCAAATTCCTTCCCAAGGTGGACACTGCTGCTCTCTGCCAGCATCCTTTCACAGCTGGAATTTTGTTAAGGAGGTTGTGGAGACACAACCTTAGAGCACAAGAATTAGTGACAAGGCAACTGATCCCCAGGGATTTGGGAAGCATAAAAAGAGAGAAGAGGGTAATGGGATGAGAGCTGGAGACTCCATAAAGGCCCACATTGTTTCACCAGAAGTTCTCCAGCAGTGCTCTAGCACTTGTGCATGGCAGTTAAGGCATATGTGAAAACAAGGTAAGTAATATTTTTGTTCAGTCAGTCAGTTGTGCAGACCTGTACAGTCGGTTCTCCAACATCTGTATTGCACCATTTAATCATTATTTTGCATTTTCATGCAGTAAAAATAATCATCATCATCATCATCAATTTCATCTATTCAAAGATCACCAGAAGAAAGTTCAGTAGTAACTGGAATTTCTGAAGAATATCTGAACTCAAAAATTAAAAATACATACCAATCTGCATGTTCTCCAATCCTTAGTTAAGTCACTGATCCACATCATAACAATTTAGGAATAGATTCACACATGCCTACACGGTCAGGGGAGGTGACACCTGAGATTGTTTAAAGCTGACAGTGTCCTGTATCTCTGGGATACTTTCCCTAGCACCACCAGAAGTAAAAGACAACTACTGTGATTTTATACAACACCTCCACTAAGGACGAAGTTGTGGCTTGATGGCAAAGCCACATTCAAATTCAAACTTCTACTCACTCAGGTATCAGAAGCCACTCAGCTCTGTTACCTCCACCTGAGCTTCTCAGCAGGGCTACAAACCACACTGCCCTTTGCAAAGTCCATCCTCACCTATGCAAAGCAATTTTACTCCAGCTTTTCCTGTATCCTCTAAGGAGACAGTTCAAGGGATGCAATTTTCCCACTGGAACATAAAACAACGTGGTCTGCATGGTCAGGAGTTGGACTCAATGATTCTTACAGGTCCATTCCAGGTGACACCACCATCACTGAAGTCCTTCAATATGTCACCAACATTCCCATATGCATCCCATCAAATATTTATCACTGCCCAGTCTTTTGCTGATTGTGCAGCCATGGATCCATCCTGACACCCTCCCCAGCAAGGATGTGCAGCCAAACATGAGCTCTCACCGTTTCAAAGCTGCCTTTGTGCATCAGGTCAATGGGAGGTCTGAAGAGATCTGCCAGCGTTGTCAGCTTCTTGTCCACTGCCCCTCCATTGCGGAGCTCCTGCTCCTGCCGGACTGCACAGCCCCAGGAGGAAAGGGATGGCAATGAGACTAAACACACTCACAAGGAACATGCATTACTGGCTAAATGCTCAAACACACAACTTCTGGGCTGAAATTCCCTCCAGCTCCTAGGAGGTTTGGGGAGAACAGGGCTAGGGCAGTTAGTGGGAGGAATGTGAGGGCAAATCCCAGGACTTCTCTTATGGAGAATCCCAGGGTTAGGGACTCTCTGAAGAGAGTCCTAGACCCCACTGAACAAGATTACCTAATGTGTAAGGGCAGAACCTCCCTGCCTCAGCTTTCTCACGTGCCTTCACTTTTAAAAAACATCTTAATAAACCTGAGGGGTCACATACCAGTATTTGAAAACAAAGGAGCAAAAAAAATCCATGACTTGTCCCCAGTGATGCTTTTAAATAGGAAACTGAGTTAGATTGTAGCAATATAATTTTTAAAAGGAATATTTCTATTGCAGTGTTTCCATTAGCTGACTGTAAGGCAATCCCACAGGAAAGAAACAAACAGATTTAGTTTACCTGGAGAAATCTCTTTGGATGTTTCTTTTAAAGCTTATCAATTCCATCTCAAATAATACAGAACACATTTCCTACTCAGACATGACTATGGACAATAAAGGTAAATCACAGCAGATATGTGATGTATTTTATGGAACCAGGTCAGCTGAAATGGGCAATAACTATCCCATGGCCAAAACTTTTCCAAGGTCAGCTGTCAGTGGGCCAAAGCATAAAAAACATGCTTAAGCAGACACATGGGGAATAAAGCATCCCTGTGGAGCAGCCCTAGGAGCCAGGAGATAATCTGCAATTTCATGGCCAGGGCTGCTTTTCCAGAGACAGCCAGACAGTGATGTCCACCCGTAAAGTTCTGCCAAAAAGCAGGATAAAGTTTCACCATAAATCCTCACATGTTGGTCATCTCTAAATGTCTCAAGAGTGGAATCACAGGGTGGTTTGGTTTGGAAGAGATACTAAAGATCAGCCTGTTCCACCCCCTCCTGCCATGGGCTGGAACACCTTCTGCTAGACCAGGTTGGAATATAGTGAGAAAAAATTTAAAGGTATTGATTCCTGTACATGGTGTATTTTCACTTACAAAGCTGCCAGTGATTTCAATACTTGTGCCCATCATTACTGGAAAAGGGGAAAGGAAGTAACTATGAACATCTCTTTTCAGTTTGGCAGGCAACCCCTAACTGTGTGGGGACATGGTCCATGGACCCCAGTAACCAGTGACAGGATGAGGGAACAGCCTCAGGCTGCAGCAGGAAAGGCTGAGATTGGATATTAGGGAAAATTTCTTTGTGGAAAGGGTTATCCAGCCCTGGTACAGCTGCCCAGGGCAGTGGTGGAGTCACCATCCCTAGGGGTTTAACAGAAGTGTGGAGGTGGCACTTGGGGACACGGGGCAGTGCTGGGGGAACAGTTGGACTCAGTTTCAGAAGACTTTTCCAACTTTACTGGTTCTGTGGTTACAGCTCAGGAACACTCCAGCAACATCAGCACGACAGCCATAACTGAGATGTGAAACACCTGGTGGTGTGCTGCCACAGAATCACACTGAGTGACACTCCATGGATGAAATAACAGCCAGTGCTTTGGCATCTGGAGATTCTGTGCATGCACAGCCAAGGGCAAACAGCAATTAAAGCCTTGAGAACCTTGTGTGGGGCCAAGGAAGAAGACTCAGGGCTACTCCAATGTAATTCCACTGCCTAGCCAAGAAATAACTGGTGAATGAATTCAATTTCTGCTTGGGTGTTAGGATTCTTCCCCCTTTTCAGTTCCCTCTAGACCAGAAAAAGGGTTGTTCTAAGAGTTAGCAATACTAAAGCAGACAGAATATACTGTGATAATCATAATTCTATGATTCCATACTTCTAATAACACAACCTGCTACACAATTGGCAATTTAAAAATGTTTCAACAACTGAAAGCTGTCCTAGCCTACAACAGGAATGATTTCTCCATCTTATTTGCATTAAAAGTAATAAAATAAAATATCAGGCTTACTGATCTGTAGACACTTACTGGTCTCTGTCTGAAAATCCCGAAAGCCATCGAATATTGAGCGAGCTGGTCTGCGCCTTTTAGGGGCTTAAAAAAAAATAAAGAATTATTTGAAAAGTAGAATATCAAAATAAATATATTTTAGTACTTTCCATCATACGGGTGGAAAACAGAATAGGAACCCAAAGCAGGGATGATGGGGGAGTAGAGGTCATTGGGAAGGACTGGGGATGGGTGGAAAATAGGCAAAGGTAGTTTGTAAATTCCATTTCCTGACACGTTCTCCCTCCAGCAAACCTTAGCCCTGAAACAAAACATGTATCAACAATATAGAAAGGTTTAAAGCCCCTTCTGATGGGCTCACTAAGACCCTCGAGCATGGAGTGGCACAGCTGTCACAGCATCACCTTGTCACAATTCCAGTCAAGATTGTACCCAAGGCCTTCAAGGGGATAAAAAACTCCAAAAGATTAAACCCCATGAGAAAATATTTTTTTAATAAGGAAGCACATTTGTTTTTTCCACAATGCATTTCTACTCTTTTCTAAACTCTTATCCTGATCCTGTCCCAACTTCTTGGCTGGACTAACAGCCACACTCTTCCAGTAGATCCAGCACTACTGTCTGCAAGGAAACCTCCAGAACTGATTATGTGGAGCTGGACAGAGATGGCAGCCCAGGCAGGTATCAGAAATAACACCCTCAAGTCCCACTGAAGTCCTAAGGTACAGCACAAGCACTGCACTTGGAAGGAAAACACAACTGCCTGCCAAGATTATTGCACCTACTAATCTCCTTTCCTATCAACTGAAAGACACAACTTTCAAAGCCCAATACACAAATTAAAGTAAGGTAAATACAACCTATACCCAATGGAAATCTGATGATACAGACTATCATGGAAAAAGAAAGCAACCATGAACAAGGGACATGCTGGGGAATAACACCTCTCAACTCCAGGGAATAAGATCTCCTTCACCCTGAGTGCTTAGGCACAAGCCAACCTCAGAACAACTTAAACTCAGCTGGAATAGCAAATGAAGGAACACTTCAGCAAAAGCACCATGTCCCTGCCAGGCTCAGCACAGGTGAAGAGGCTCTCAGCATCCAGGAGGATCCTTTATACTGAATGATGGGATCCACATATCCAGCAGGGCACAAATGAACAGGGACACCTCTTCAACTGAGCTTAAACAACCACCCTACAAAGGGAAACTGCCACCTCCCCTGCTGTAAGGCTAGAGCTGAGACCAATTATCTCTTCAGGTTCAGCTACTTTGTCAGGCTGCTTTGTGCCAGAACCACAAGTGGCATTGGTGGATCAGACAGTGCCAGGAGGGAATCACTGATCCAGGTCAGTGGATGCCAGTGACAGTGTGACTGAGATCAGTGTGTAACAGGGAGGTATAAGAAGACCAAGCATTAGGGTCAGCAGATCTGAATCCTAATAACCCATAGGAGTCAACAGATCTTTGTCAAAAACTCTGTTGGGCCACAGGAAAAAGTGCAGAGAACTCCTCTGTCTTTAGAGAGGCATCAGCAGGGCATCTTTCTCTGGATGCACATTTCCTCTGCTACTGAACACCCCACTTCCAAAATCCAGACGTGTTGGGAAGTACAAGGATCAGATAAACACAGCGTGTCTTTGTTTTCATGTCACTGCATCTTATGGTTGAGACCTTTGAAGCTCAGCTTCACTGCAGCTGACAAGGTGGCCTTCCAGCAGCAAGGGGAATGTCATGAAAATATATAAATGAAGCTCATGGAAGTGCAAAAGCACTTCATTGAAAGCACGTACTTTGCATGTCATTCCCTTTTTGCCCAAATGCAAATTAAGTGTGTACTTCAAATGTATGCATCTCACATCAGTATGTAAAAGTAGAAGTTAAGTTAGTCCATTTCAGTGATTCACATTCTGTCTAAGGAATAAATATTTTCTCATAGGACTGGGGACTGAAGCATATTAAAGGAGTCTAAATTTTCCAGCTCCCAAAACAGACAGGAAAAATTTGTTGCTACAAGGACTGAAACTAGAAAAGATAATGTTGCTATCTGTGCAAGTACAGCAAAAAGGCAAGTGCTGTGTACTTTTATTGCCTGGCATTGTGTGCTGCCCTCTGAGCCACCCCTCAGTTTGTGCATCCTGGTTAAACACCTCTCTGATGCTGACAAACAGAATCAAAATCAGTTCCAGGGTAAACTTGAAGCTTGGCCTCCTTCTCCTTTCTAACACAGGAACTAAATGATAGAAAAGAGCATTTCCCATGGGTGTGAGACCACTGCAGTGATGAGTATGCCTTCCTCATGGCCTTCCTCAGTGAAAAGAGCAAAGCTCTCAATCCATCTGACATGGCAAAGGCCAGCCCAGAAATGACCTGGCCCACATGAGAAGGACAGAGACAAGAAAAGTAGCAGCTTAAAGAGCAAATTAAATTCCTGCATGAGAAATGGAGAAGGGTATGAGCAATCAGACAGTTCAGCTCTTCTTTCTGATCTGTCATCTCTTCGAGGCAGGCATTTGTCCTCTTCATTTTTACCCATCAGCCAGGGCTCCATCTTCCATCCCAGCACCTCAAACATTCCCAAAGCAGTACCCCACAGCTCTGGGCCCCCAGAATGCAGATGTATACTTAATTAAGTTAATTGGCTGCCACCTCACAAAGTCTTATGAAACATGATTTAGCAAATTAGTACCCCTGGGAATAAAGCATGTCTCATGTGTGAGGTTTTCAACCTCATGTGTTATTTCTTCATATTTAACAAGTTTTGATTTTCTTTTGTCACTTAGCTCACCTCAAAGTAAAGAAAACAGAAGCAAAATAAGAACACAAGCCTACCTCCAAACAAGGGCTCAGGCTCTACTAAGATTTCCTGCTTTTGAGGAATTGGAGCTCGTACTTCATCCCTATCAAAGGAGAAGAAACAAAAAAGAAAATATCAGAGAGATTATAATATTCCAAGTACTGTACAAACCACATCTCATTATGCTCCAAGGCTCCTGCAACTTGAACCAGTTGAAGATGCTGCTGTATCATTGCACTGAATGAAGAGGTTTGGGATTAAGTGGGACCTTGAGGGAGCATCTGTTCCCACTCATGGCACTGCTGCTGGACCTGGTGCTCTGTGCACCGAGAGCTGGCATAGATGACCTTTGATAAAAGATTATGCAAATCCCTGAGTGATTCGATCCCAGGCTTTGTCAATTTACTATTTAAACATTTTTTGTTCTTGAAGAACTTTGTTAAAACTTGGAAGTTTCTAAAAACCTAGCAAATGATGTTAAACAAGCCACTTGCCATCCTACTTTCTTGCTAGCTACATAGAAAAAAAATTATCTTCCTTATTACCAGCTTTTGTCTTTCAGAAGACTTTTTGCCTTCACCTGAAAGTCACAACTCTCTCTTTTCTCGAAGAAGGACACTAAGGTCAAGATGGCCATTTTCCCCCATTTCTGAAGCAGTTCTTGGCTTACATAACTGGGCTCCCTCACACACCAACAGCTCAGTCAGTTACACTTGCAGACACTTACAGGTAACCCAAAACTACAATTAGGAGAGAGGAAATCACAAAGAAATCACAAGCATCTCTGTGACAATGGTGTGGTCACCTTGCCCACGGATCTATGTGGAGAAGGATTCATCCATTGCTACATCCCGTCTATGAACTCTCTCTTCCCCCAGACTTCCAAGGTGTGAAGTGTGCACTTTGCAGCTCTTGATCATGCAGCTTTCAAAAAGTAACTCGGGATGACAGCAGGCTGCACTAACCTTGCTCTTAACCTCCCCATCTTTGATTGCTCTCTGCAGCTAGTTACTCTCCATTTGAACATTTACTGTTCTCTCCACCTAGGAGCAACACTGAGCTGATCAGCACCTGGAGGGTGTTCAGTATAAAAAGGAAAGTATTCCAAGAAAAAGCTGAAGTCACTGATGTGCCAGAAGCTGTCTAGAAATAAGAACACCAACCTACATACCTATTTTAACTTTGTTAAAGGTTCAAGTAGGAAGGCACCTCACATCAGCTATGAAGGTTAGCACTAAAATAATTGTTTGAATTTACACACGTGCTTCAGAAGTATGAGGGGTAAGGATTTTCCTCTATAAATAGTTAGCTGTCTTTTTCCTGGAGTGGAAGGTTTTCATAAGGACAAAAGCCTGGTTTACATTTAATTGACCATATTTAGAGAATGTGATTTATACCACTCAAAATACTCCCTTTATCTCAAGCAGTCACATTAACAGGCAGCACTGAGACTCTCTGCCATGATTAGGTGGAAATTCTCTTCCCTTTGCAGGCATCTGATGTGTAAGAGACTGATGAAGGTGTTGAAGTTGCTGATTCCTCTGCATACTGGTGTACAGGGCCTGGCCTTTCCAGTGCCAAACTGGGTTAAACCACCACAATAAAACCCTCACAAGTTACACTCTTCTCCCACGTAACAAGAGATAGAATGAGACAAAACAGCCTCAAGCTGTGCCAGGGGAGGTTTATGTTAGGTATGGATGTGGCACTTGGGGACATGGGTTAGTGGTGAATGTGGTGGTGGTGTTGGGTTGATGGCTGGACTTGATCTTAGAGGTCTTTTCCAACCTTAAATTCTATGAATCTATAGAAAGGAAGTAAGGTGGCTTCATTTATAAGAATCAAACCAAGAGTACTCTCTAACTTCCAAATGAGTGTAAAGCAAGACTGCTGAAGCATTTAAAAATAAGACTTTCTTATTACTGGATCCCTACCTTAATGACTTGGTCTTTGATTATAAAAAAACAGTAGGTGAAAGCAACAGAAAACTTCTGAAGTGCAAGAGACTCACTTCTGGTCTACAGACCAGAACACCACTGGAACAATCAACTGAACAAGATCAAAGCAGTGTGGAATGCTGTGGTGAAAAGTGACAATTTGCTGTGCTTTGCAGTGTGACATTTGTGGGACAGGCTGGCTGGCACAGCCACTTTCCCACGTTATAAATACATATTATGGTATTGGCTTTTCTCAAATATTAGGGTGGATACTAAATGTGTGGTGTTGAAATGGTTTTTAAAATACAGTTTTCTTTAGGAGTAACATAGGCTGATAAAGTGTCTTTGTAATAAGTGAACTGCCTGTTTAATTGGATAACACCCAATAAAGACACCTACTAATGATATACCAATTACCAGCACCGACTGTCTGTAAAAGTTAAAGACCATAACTCAAATTGAGACTAATAAATAAATAAATTAAAACCACAGCCAGAAAACATGCATGCTCTAAAAAGGCAAACTCAAGAAGTAGCCATGTAAAACAGCTCCTGAAATATGGAAAATAGTTTATAGGAAAGTTTGAAAATGTATGATAGGTCTATGAATATGCAAGGAGCTAATAAATTTAAGGTGTGTCTCCAAAACAGCAGGTGTGCTCTTAGCTGAATGCCAAGCACCCAGCAGTTATAACCTTTTGCTTTGTCTCTCATTGTCCTTTATTAAACTTTTAGCAATCTACCAAAAAAGGGACCCTTGTTTTTCCCAGCGGGTACGTACTCGGGGTGTGGGCGGACAGCAGCCACTGCTGCAGAGCTGGTGCTGGGCTCCTCTGCTATTCCTCCTCCATCCAGGAACATGGTGACAGCCATCTCCAGGTTGTTGTTGCATGCTTCAAGCATGTGCTTCCCCACACTTTCACTGGCACCTGGAATGGCAAAGGGAAATCACAGCGTTTTGACTGGAAGCGCCCAGAACAGCTTTCTCTCTCAAAGCATTAATAATTAGGAAGAACAGTTCATCAGCTGCCATTTATCCCTGCAGCACAACTGTGAAAGGAGACAAACATACACAGCTCAGGGGGAAGGGAATGCTTGCAGTCAGGACTGCCAGGCTTCTTCTTCCTGCCAGCAACTGAAAACCTGTGAGGTTTTCAGCTGAGGAGTTTTAGCGTGATCTGGATTTTTCTGATCTAGAGGTCAGACATTTTTCTGGTACGTGGACCTGTTGGAATGCGTCCAGAGGAGACCACGAAGGTGCTGTGAGGCCTGGAGCCCCTCTGCTCTGGAACCAGGCTGGGAGAGCTGGGGGTGCTCACCTGGAGAAGAGAACGTCCAGGAAGAACTTAAAGCCCCTTCCAGTGCCTAAAGGGGCTCCAGGAGAGCTGGAGAGGGACTTGGGAAAAGGGATGGAGGGACAGGCAAGGAGGAATGGCTTCCCGCTGCCAGAGGGCAGGGATAGATGGGATATTGAGAAGAAATTCTACCGTGTGAGGGTAAGGAGGCCCTGGCACAGGCTGCCCCATCCCTGGCAGTGTCAAAAGGACAGACTTGGAGCACCCTGGGACAGTGGAAGATGTCCCTACCCATCACAGCAGGTAGAACAAGATGAGCTCTAAGATCCCTTCCAAGCCAAACTATTCCATGATTCTATGAATTTTCCAAGCACAAGCAGGCATACACAAAGAAAAATAAAAACCTGACTTAACATTTTAACAGGAAGAATATTAAATCAGCTGCTAAAGTTTTTTTATCCACTTGTAACAAACATTTAGAGATGGAAGAAAAGACACTCTGATTTACTGATTCTGCTGAAAGGCAAAATCAAACCAGCAGAAGCTCAGTTTATATAAGAAGGGGGAAAAAAGCAGCCAAGAGGAAGAAAGTAGTACTTGTCTACAGAGTTCTTTGTATAATGACTAACATTTATTCAAATCACAGAATCACGGTTGGGTTTGGGTTGGAAGGAGCTTAAAGCTCATCCAGTTCTACACCCTGCCATGGACAGGGACACCTTCCACCAGCCCGGGTTGCTTCAGACTGGCTTTGAACACCTAAAGTGCAACTAATCCCAGTTTTGATGCTGCTGTCCTTTCTCAGAGGATGAGCCTCTATCTCCCATCTTCTCAAAAACCATCCCATCAGCTTCCTCAGGAGAAGAAGCTCTCCCACAACCCAATTCTTTACAGCACCTTCTCCATAGGTGGTGGACTGTCAAAGAGCTTCTTTTCCTTTAGAAAGGCTGGTAGAGAGGAAGAGTGGTAAAATGCAGCTGAACAAGTGTGGGAGCAGCTTTGGGATCTGTAGTAATTCTTCCTAAGTTCACAGCAAGTCACCAAAATGACAAAAATACTTGGCCCAAACTCAGGCTCGCAGACAACATCAGTCTGGGCAAAACACACTCAGATGTTTCTCAGATTTTCTGGGAAAAACTCGAGAACCTCTGGTTTGAACACAGAATACACTTTGAAACTGTGGAGATCAATCAGATCTAAATAACCTGCACATCAAACCACAGAGAAAGCCAAACTGACTGAGGGAACTGGTTTCCCTAAACACCCAACCTGCCACAACAGGCACGCTGGGATGACAGGCAGCTGTATTTTAAGATGTTAACAGAGCTGAAGAAAATGCAAAATAAAAACTGGTGACATCTCCCCTCCCAAAAAAAAGATAAGTTCAGGTTCTTCACTCTATTTTTTGGCATTTTCAGCACTTTTCAATGTTAACTGTAGCAATGAAACCACACTTGTGAGCCTGGAACACACACCCCACACTACACCTCACTATAGAGTCAAGCAAAGCCACTCATTTGCAAGAACTGGAAGAAAAAATGGCAATTCAACCCTCTGATATTATTTAAAGAGACACTGTCACAGCAAGGACCTGCACTGATTCCTCATCATTCCTGAGGAAAGTGCCAGCATATCAAGACTTTCAGTCCTTGTGCTGGAAAACTAAATATTTGTTAAGTTTCAAAGCAAATTTCACAGATATCCCATCATCTCCCTGGGGAAGAATGATGCCTTGAGAGGCTACCCAGAATAGAGGGGGGACAGAGTTAAAGGAATAAAGCAGGTATTTATTAAAAGGCCTTCAAAGGATTCACCTTGGGAAGTGCAAGAGCCTGGCCATGGGCATACCCAAGATGGACCCCAGGTCATGAATTTTCACACTCTCATAAGTTTTGCTCCATTTCCATATTGGGTTCATTGCCCAATTCCAGCTCCAGGTTCTGCAGTCCCATCCTCCCAGATTCTCTCCTCAATTCCCTGCTCTTTGCACTTTTTGGGCCTGAAGCTGCAATGGTGTCCTTGGTTCTGGGGCTGGAAAAGGATTATTTTGTGTGACTGAGCTGTGAGGAGAACTTGCTAACACTTTATATGAAGTTCAGAGTTATTTACTAATGCAGTAGAGAATCTGGAAAATATGAAAGCTAAAATTTAGTGCATCAAGACATGCAGGAGTTACATTCTCTTAGCAGTACTTTCCTAGATGAGAGCACCAAAGAAACACAATTCTGCCACCAGGATCAAAGTGTTAAGGACTATTTCGCCTCATCCCTCAGCCTCTTCCTCACAGACAGCAGTGATTGCATACACTTACAACTCCGAGTTGAAAAAACTACAAACACACAGCACTGAGGTGTGAGCACCTGTCCACACCACACCAGCATTGGCCAGACAAGCTCCACACACTTCTAGATGCAAGCTTAAATTCTGTTGATAAGATAAAAAGAAAACTTCAAAACTCCACTTGACAGTGGATGGGTGAAGCCCAGTAGGCTATTTCTTTCTCGGTTTTGAAAGCATAGAGGGGTTCTCTTATGTTGAGCACAAAACATGTGTCTAAACATAGAAGGTGTCAGGAGGAGGAAACCAGCTCTGCCTGTTGTTGTTCAGGTTTTAGCAAATATCTCACAAACAGGCACATACTATTGAAAATATAATTCCTGCAGGTTTTTTTTCGTTCAAAGGGTTTGCTCTATAAAGATACTTTAGGAATAGCTGAGAGATCAACAATATCCCTGCTTATATCCCACTGAGGATTTGAGTGTGCCCAAGTACAGGGACACAACTTGAAACGGAGCTGGTCTGGAAAACCGAATTAGAGCAGCTTCACTTCTCTTTGGCTGTGTTGACACATCTTATTAAACACTCCCGCAGCATCTGGCATGCAAAGCCATCAGCCAGCGGTAACTACGGCGAAGCAGATTAAACACAAAGTGGGTCAAGAGCTCCAAGTACACAACCTGAAGCAGGAGCTGTCACCTGACGCGAACTTCCACGGAAAAGCGACCTGCTGTCTCCGTTTGCCAACTCCAGCGAGCTCACCTGCTCTCTCCGTTTGCAAACTCAAGTCGCCGCAAGTCGCCCGCAATCCAGGATATTTCTGGTTTTCCGGGGCTCAGCTCCCGGGTCCCTCCCGGCCGTCAGTTACCCGCTGGAGCGGGAAGCGGCTCCCGGGGCGGAGCGCAGGCGGGAGGGAGGGGAAGAGGCAGGGAGGGAGCAGGACACGCACCCGCGCCACCGGGACAACCCAGAGGAACGTCCGAGCCGCCGCTCAAAGGGACGGGAGCTCTCCGCCGCGCAGGGAGCGGGGCCGGGCCCGGGCCAGCCCCGCCGCGCTGGGCGGCCCCGGGGCGCGCCCGCAGACAGGCCCTGACACCGCCGGCCCCCCGCGGGAGGCGCTCCGGGGGCAGGGGCAGCGCGCCCGGAACCGCTCCGCCTCGGCCCGCGCCTCCCGCCCCCGGCCCGCCAGCAGAGGGAGCCAAGAGGGACCCTCCCGCTGAAGCCCGGCGGCCTCGGCGCGCCCCGCGCCCCGAACCCACCGGTGATGGCGGTGAACTGCTGGACCAGCGCCCTCAGCGCCGCGGCGCCCGCCGAGCCCCCGGGCGCCGCCATCTTGCCGCCGCCGCCGCCGCACCACAACACACGCGCCGCCGGCCGGCGCGCACTGCGCATGCGCGGGGTCCGCCCGCGCGCGCGCCCCTGCCCCCGCCCGCCGTGAGGGGCGGGATCTCCGTTGCCATGGTAGCAAGCCCCGCCCCTTTCGGCCCCGCGGGAGGCGGGAGTTGCCATGGCAACGTCTCCCTCCCCCCTCTCCTCGGCGGCTTTCCCTGGGAAAGTCCCCGGAATTCCCGACCCGCCGCTTGCAAGGGCCACAGGCCTTAGGGACCGGTCCGGCACTCAGGACACGCACCCGGGGTTCCCAGGCGGATTTACCCCGGCACAGAGGGGCTGGGCAGGCCGCGGGCCGAGCGCGGAGCAGACCCGGGTGCTGTGACCAGAGACACGCAGGAATAACCCTGAGCACCGGCACAGGCCGGGGCTGACCTGGTGAAGGACCTGGGGGTTCTGACAGGCAACCAGCTGTCCCCGAGCCGGGGCCAGTGGGACCCTGGGGGACACTGGGAAGGGCACTGCCAGCAGCTCAGGGAGTGATCCTGCCCCTCTGTCCAGCCCTGGGAGGCACAGCTGCGGTGCTGCGTCCAGCTCTGTGCTCCTCAGGAAAGGACACACATGGAACTGCCGAGATGAGGAAGGGCCTGGAGCATCTCCGTGCCCAGGAAAGGCTGAGGGAGCTGGGGCTGTTCAGCCTCGAGAGGAGCCCCAGCTGAGAGTGGCCCTCAGCCCTGGGTGTCCCTGTCTGTCCCTGGGTGTCCCTGTCTGCAGGGAGGGCTCCAAGCAGGGCCCAGCAATTGGCACCAGAGCAACAGGCAGGGACTGAGCCCAGGAAGTTCCACCCGGACATGAGGAAGAACTTTCCTGGGCTGTGGAGTCTCCCTCACTGGAGATATTCCAGAGCTGTCTGGACACAATCTGTGCCATGGGCTCTGGGTTGGCCCTGCTGGAGCAGACGGATCCACTGTGGTCCCTTCCAGCCTGACCCATTCTGGGATTCTGTGAGGCAGGATCTGAGGTGGCCAAGGAACAGCTCATCTACACCAGCCCAGGGAGCCCTGAGAGGACACCCCTGCCATTACTGTCACAAAGCCAGAAGAGGAAACGCTTGGATTTCTCTTCACCTACCATACCAGGTGTTTCTGATCCCCAGGCCACCTGAATTACTGTCAAGGAAGGAATGGTTTACCCCTTTCCAGTTTCCCAGCACAGCAGGAATGTGGCTGCTTTGCTGCTGAACACCTTGCCAGTAGCACTTGTCAACCCTGTGAGTACCACAGAAAGCTGAATTTCTCTAGAATTCCAATAATTTAATACCTCACTGCCATGGAAACAGGTGCATCTGTTCCCTCTCTTATCCCCTCCCTGCCTCCCATCCCCACACCAGCTCTGGTGCTCAGGGAAGCAAACAAGCCTGTAAAGTATTTGGGGTTTTGGCATTTGTTTTGTTTTTCCTAGCAGTTGGATGAGCTGAACTTGTTCACAAACAAGACAAATAAATCACTAGGGCTGAAGACAGGTGAACTGTTACACCAGCCCAGACATCCCAAATACAGACTCCTGCTTCACTAACACCAGTAAAACAAAGCTCATTTCACCTGCTTCAAAGCACAGGGTCAGAAACAAGCTGTTGGTACAACCAAAATCCACACAGCAGTGGCCAAATTCCACCCTCTAACAATGAAGACCTAAAGGAATAAGCCAAATTATGCCTGGTGAGGATTATTGTGCATGGAAACACTCAGTAGCTCTGCCTTATAAAAACCAAAACCCTTTAATTAAGTTGTTTTTTTTTTTACATCATGGGTAAAACAGAAAATAATCCCAACTGCATTAAGGATTAAAGAAAAACAGACCCATATTGAAGGAAGGCTTCCAGAACAATAGCTAAGGCAGCAGGAGATCAAAAGATTAGCCATTGGTCACCTGTTGTAACTTTCTCGAAAAACATCTCTGAACAGAACATTTATTTATTTATTAATGAGAAGCCCACCAATGATAAAGACGTGCAGGCTTTGGGGGGAAAAAACCCAACAAATTATATTTTTGGCTCAGTGTGCTGGACATGCTTTCCACAAATTTTGTTTTTTTAAAACTTAAACCATCAGAAGATGCTGCTGAAGTAACAAGTCTGTTAGGAAGGTCCCAGAACAGAGTTAAAAGTCATCAATAGGGTTCAAAAAAAGGACAAAACTCAAACATTTGCTGACTTTGCTGACTAGCACACACCCTTCAGCACTGCAGCTGGCACTTGGCTCCATTTCAAACACTGACAGTGCAAAAGTAGCTCTGAAGAAGCAAAGCAAAGCCAAAATATGGCTTCATAAAACAACAGACAAAACAATTAGCAAGAAAACTTCCTCTGCATAGTAGGATCTGGTTACCTCTTCCCCAGCCTCGACTTCCTACAGGCCACAGCATCTCCACATCTAAATTACAAATTTTTTTGAGTTATTTCAGTTTTAAATCCAACAGGAACAGTATTTAGTAGTGCCTCTAAAAATGAAGGGGAACAGTTACAGCCAGAAAGGGCAATTCTGTGAATCTCTAATTACAGTTATGTCACTACTGACAATTCCAGATTTCAGTTGCCTCTTTCCCTTTTTAACTCTCTCCATCATAACTGGCTTCTGGACTATTGTTTTAATCACACTCAAACCAGTCTGAGTATGAAAATTAAACGGCATCAAATATAGTAACACTATTGTACAAGAATAAAGTTACAGAACATTAACAGTAAGAAAACAAAAGTATCTTGCTCTTAACAACAGGGAAAATGGGATCTGCAGGAGGGATCTCTGTGAATAGAGGTGAATGGGAGCCCACAGCCTTGGCATCCATGAAAGATCCTTGGCCTTTGGCAGTGGAGAATGACTTGTTTCATTCCTCTTTGTCCGAGGGGTTAGCATATGAGAGGGAAAGAGTGCCTGTCTGGTTACACTGGTGTTGATGGGTGTGCCAACAATGCAATTCCACAAACAGCCTAAATTCCAGCAACATGCTTCAATTTACAGAACAGTGGTGGTGCTGAGGGAAGCTTCAACCTTGCAGCTGACAGCTACTTGAGAATACAGACTCATTTTTCACTTGTTTCCTCCATGGAATGTGCATCTTTTCCATTAAAGGCTTCAGATTCTTATTTTCAGGTCAGACCATCAGTCATCCTTGTTTTCCAACACTACCAGTAATCACACTCCAAACCGTGTAAATGCAAGTTAGAAAGTAAAAAATGCTCCAATTCCTGCAAGAAGTGCTGCAAGTGCTATAAAAGAACATTCAAGAAAAGAACAATTAAAAAATGTTACATTCTGGAGGGTGTATGTTACCAAAACTTCTCAGAACTCACAGCACCGCTACCCAAAGTGGTTCCCTTCCAAAGCAACCGCTCAAAACTGCTTAGGGAAGCTTTGCCTAACACAGGAGAACATCACCCCAGTTCCCATTCCCACTCCACCACGTGTCCATGGCTCTGAGCTACTCTGCAACAGGGCTTTTAAACATCTGCAGGATTGTCTTTTGCTTGTTCTTAGGCAGTGAACAAATATCATTTGTGTCACTGGTATTAACCACACAATTCAAGACCTTTCCTTCCTTGATGCTGGGGGATTTCACCCGGACTCTGGCAGGGGACTGCCAGTTTTCATTGCAGGAACCTCTCCTAGACTTGTGGTGATTGGTTTCAGCCTGTGTTTTTGATCCCTTGGAGTCTTTTGCCACCTTGGAACTTCCCTTCCTGGCAGAGGAGTCTTTCACAGAGCGGGGTGGTTTGGTGCGGAGCAGGTACTCGTCTGGAGAGCCCTTCTGCCTGTTCAGGGTCCTGTCCTCCTTGTCGAGCTCCTTCTGCAGCTGCAGAGCCAGGAGCCTGTCCTGCTCCTCCTGCCTGCGCCTTTCATACAACTCCTGCTCAAAGGCTCTTTGTGTCTGCAAGTTAAAATCATTCATCTGCTCTCCTTGGTCTTCTACACTTTCTGAAGAGGTTCTTCTCCTCTTATCAAACATGCCCAAGTCAATCGTGGCATCAGCTGGGGCCTCCAGTAACTTCCTTTTGGGAGTCTCCTTAGAGTTCTGTGGCCTCTCTGGTGTCTCTTCATTTGAGTGTCCAGCCTCCTTCCCCGGATCATGCAAGGCAGTCTGGCTGTCAGACATCACACAATTCTGATCAGAGGTACAAGTGTCATCAGACTTTTCAAGGTTTACCCTTTGGACATGTCTTAAATTGCCACTGTCTGACTCAACTCCATTATCTTCTCCTTTGGATCTAAGAACAACTGTCCTAAACCCTTTCCCTTCTGTGGTTCCATGAAGTGCATCTGGAATTCCATCTTCTAAATCATTTGGTCCTGCTGTTTTTTCCTGCTTGACGGTGGCAGTTTCACCTGAAGCTGAGGCACTGAAATAGTTCATGCACGATTCCAAAAATGAATCCTTAGCAGCAGATTCTTTATTTACACTGGTCAGCTGTGGAGACAGGGTTGGCATTTCCTCTTGCTCATCCTGCAGCACAGAACTGCTGCCTTCATTGTTGTTGGTCTCCTGAAGAAAAGGGAGACACCACTGATGAAGTAAATTTATCAAAAGCCCATGGGTGTGAATAAATCCCAAACTCACTTCTCATAACTGCATTGACCCTGAATGTTCTGGGATAGCAACTTAAATACTTTTCTTTTTAATATCTATTTAATAATAATATGAAATAATATAATAATAAATAAATAATAATAATAATAATAAATAAATAATAATATAATAATAAATAATAAATGAAAATATTTAAAGTAACTGCAGAATCCCAGCTAAAGGACTGAAACCACAACGGCAGCATTTCTCCTCTTATCAGTGACTCAGACCAAGCCTACTCATCTTCTTTGGAGCTTTTATGACCAGACCAACAGCCATGCAATGATGTAAATGAGGGTGCACCCTCTGCCAGTGCACTCCAGAACTGGGAATCATGAGCAATGAAGGCAGCTTAGAAAGGGCAGTATAACCTACCCAGTGCTTATGTGCAAGGGGAATAGAGGACTGGAATCCTACAGGCAAGGGGAAAATATCCCACAATTACAAACCCTGAGATTTATAAAAAAATTACTCCACGTACCACAGAGATAGAGTTGCTGCTGCCTCTTCCTGTGGTACTGGAGAACGATGCTGAGCCCAACACACCATAATTCTTTGGAGACAGATACCTTAAAAAGGAAAAAAAAATACTCCTTTAAACATTTTGTCCTTGAATTGTCAGTCCTTGGCATTATTCAAGATCTTCAGGTTCATTGTGACAAACAAAAAACAAGAAGGCAAGTGTTTCCCTTCTCCTTCTATGAGGAAGTGTTTTAAACTTCAACACTTCACATTTGGGGAAGCTGACCTACAGCATTCCAAAGAAGCAAATGGGGCAGAGGGACACTGAAACAGACCAGTAATGAAAGAAACACTTGGCTGAATCCCTTACTTCTGAATGTCTCCAGAGTTGCTTGGTTTGTTCTTTGCCTTGCACAGGTTCAGTGGGGATGTCTGAAGGAAGAGGCTGTGTGCTGGTGATGGGCTGCCAGGCACGTGTCCCTCAGGATCCTCATTCTTCCAGGCAAGTAAAAATAGCATTAGGTAAAACAAAACACAACACAGACTGCAGAAACCTCAGTGAACTACTTTGGTTTTGCTGCAGAATTAGTTACTTCTGTCCAAAGAATTCCAGAACTGTGAGTAACAGACAGTTACTGAGAAAGAAATGTTAATCTAGCACTGAGAGACAGGAGGCTTTGCTCAAATAAGTACACAGGTTTCATCATTGGGTAGCAGAAATTCAACTATGCAAAACAAATTAATAAAACAAACAAACAGAAAAAAAACCCTCCAAAAGGTAAGGTACATTTTCACTGTACGTTCCTTTTTTCCAGTACAGGTTACAGGTATTAATTTCTTCCAAAAAAAATTTTTTAAATCATGAGGAAAAGGAAGCATACAGCAGAAAATCAATGTTTTAAAATGTTTCACAATGAAAACATGTAGCACACATACTAGATTACAAATGTGTATTACACAGCTTTACTCTCCCCCTGGCTTTTCAAAAATTAATGGTAAATCAAGGATTTAAAGTACTGAGGGGTGACAAGAGCTTTCAACTACAACTAAAAGAAATTTAACTCTATTCCAAATTTTAACATTTACTCTGAGAAGTCCAAGTTGTTTGCACTATATTGACATTTGCTGCTGTCCCACTGGATCCTGACTCACCAGACTGTTACTGAGTTGCCAGGCCAGTTCTTCATCTTGCTTCAGCTGCTTCTCCATCTCCTTCCTTCTCTCTTCTGCCAGCCTGTGCTCCTCCTCCTCCTCCTCTGCCAGCAGCCGCTGGATGTATTCCTCACTGGCTTTGTTCTCCTCCTGTTCATGTGCTCGCCTTTCTGCCTCCACCTAAACCAGATGTTTGAAAAAATCCACCTGGTTACCACTGCAGGGCCACACTTTACACCAGAAACTGGGAGGTGACACTCCTTAAACGTGAATCACTCACTGCTCATAAAACACAGCAGTATTTCACTGCACGAGTCCCAAAGATGTGAGAATCACACGGATACTGTGTGTAGAGCCTCAGGTTTGACCACAGTGACAAACCTTTTGGTTTCTCTAGGATTATACCATTAACCTGGCTCACCTGTAAGGTTAAACTCCAGTTCTCACCTTTTCAAAGTGTTAGTAACAAAAACATGGATCTACAGAGAAACTGGGATTAGGATTCTTTCTAAGGCTGAATGCCAGCTATCCCACAGCACTTGCTCAACCTGCTTTTACATCTCCCAAAGACAGCACATCTCTCTTCTAGAAGGGCTCCCTTGAAAGGGTGCTGCTTTGGGTTTTGCTATCTGCAAAACCCAAAGCAGCAGGCTAGGAGTTTTAAATCTGCTTTCCTTACAGCAGACATGCTGAGAGATCAGTTACCAGCAACTCCATGAGGAGAGCAAAGTTCTTGAAGAATAAAGCTTTCTTTGGAAATACTCCCTGGTCCTCTGCCTGGTCCTGTAATCACCAGCAAGGAGCTCTCAAGGAAAGGCACATTCCATATATATTCTGACTCTAAATCTTAATACTACTGTGTCTGAATTGGAAGAAGGATCCTTAAATAGGCCAAAATTGAGAATTCTTTAAAATCTTTATTGATTTTAAAATGAGCACAGGTAACAGAGTGAACAAAGGAAGAAGAAAATGCTGTATGTTCACTACTGAAGGTTATCTAATTGTAGTCTCTTACTTGGAGGGAAATCAAGAAGACAAACATAAAACCAAAGGCCAAACAGTTCCAAATTTCTACATTTGCTACTTTTATATACATTGACTGAGAGATGAGATAGGAAGTATAGATCAAGAAAACTTGAGAAATGTCACTTCATGTCAAATACAAAGAAATCTCTTCCATCGATTTAATTCATGATTCAGGAGTGACCAGTATGTTCTTGCAGCTGCAGTGCCCTTTGAAGTATCTTTATAATGAAATAAAACTACAGCTGTTTGTGGGATAATTCCAATAACTGCACTTACGCTTTTTTGACATATTTTTAGACTTACCTTACTAATCTCTGCTTCATATTCCTGTCTCAGCTCCCCAGGCTTGCTCAGCTGGTGCTGCGGTTTGGGGACACAGACTAATCAAGAGGAAGGAGAGGAAAAAACCCAAAGTCAACAAACACAAAGTCATGACAGTCAACAACAAAGGATTTTAACAACAAAGGATTTTAATTCCATACCCTGTCCTGGGAATGATTTGACTTAAATCAAGCACTGTGATTAAAAAAACGAAGGAATAAAGTAAAAAAAAACAAACAAGGAATAAAGTTTACTCAGTAGAAAAGCACGGTGTTACAGAGTGGCAGGAACAGGCAGTATTTCCCAAGCACTGTGTATAAAGCAAATACAACGGAAGGAGTTGCTCAGAGAAGCTGTGGCTGCCCCATCCCTGGAAGTGTCCAAGGCCAAGCTGGATGAAGTTTGTAGCATCCTGGTCTAGTCTCTGCCCAGGGTGGGGAGATGGAATGGGATGATCTTCAAGGTCCCACCCACACCAAACCATTCCCTCATTCATTCTCTGTTGGTACACTGACCATAATTTGTGTCTTTCACTCTTTTTCGTTAAAAATATCTCAGAACACTGCAAGTGAAACAAGCTGTCCTACAGCCAAACTACCAAAATGTCCCCCAAGGGTGCTGGCAACATCATAAACCCCAAAATCTTTCTTCAAAAAGTTAATCAGATTTCACTTCCTTCTCTCTGACACCACAATTTTCAGCTCACAGATTCTTGCATTGGCCAAACCCCTGGAATTTCAACCAAACTAAGTAACACCTAAAAATCTTTTAACCACTTAACTTACTTGACAGCGATAAAGAAACACACCCACAGACTCAAACACTCTGCTTGCAGATGCTACAGCTGCAAATGAGAAATAAACAAGGCCAGGCAGCCACACACAAATACCCTACACCAAAGGCATGAACAAATACCACTGAAATGACCAGACAATGTCATTTTTATCCTCTGTACTACAAATGAAAAATGAATTGTCCACCTCTTCCCTGCCCCTTCTGCATGAGAGCTCTGTCTCTGCCAGCACTAACACACCTGCCTACCCACAGCTCTTTATTTCCCAACATCTGAAGTCCACCCACAGTAATTCCTGCGGCAAAGCAGACACATCCCAGGACAAGTGACATTTCACCTACTTTCCTCATCCAAATCCTGTCCGTTAATCCTCCGCTCGCATTCCTCTGGGTAATTCTTCTGGATCTTCTCCCAGAGTTCCCAGTTGACAAGGGTATTTCTGCGGGTATTATACCGTGCCCAGGAGGAGACTCGACGCCTACAAAAGGGGCAGCAAAGACTGGCCTTTTCCACTGTCATCTGGAAGCAGGAATTGCAGAGGGTATGGCTGCACGGCAGTGTGACAGGCTCCACAAAGATCTCCATGCAAATTTGGCACAGGCAGTCGGACAAGGAAAGCGGGGCCTTGGATGTCTTCGACATACTGACTTTGAGGTAGAGGAACAACACTAGGGTAACATCAGGGCCTGAAAGCAAAAAGAAACATTTATGTTCCTTGTCGGAAAATAAAGGAAAATACAAAATGCTTTACAGCTACTTCAAGAAAATGTTAGAGGATTTAGCAGCCTGCTTAAGTGATTGCTTTTGCTTCAGGGCTTGAGAGATTCCTGAGGAAAAAGCAGATCTTTACAGAAGTCATGTACCCGGTTTTCCTACTGCAGTTTCCTGTGGGCTGTAACAGGTGCTTTGGGGATAGCAAAGAGGTGGTAAGGAGAGGGGAGAAAAGGTGAGAGTTCTTCCAGCCACCTCTGTTACTCCCCTCATCTCCCACCACTCCCTATCTATGCTGAATATATTATCCCAGTTACCTTAACCTTCCATTCATTCATTTTTTCAGTGTACGTGCATCCTTTGAGAGCTGCTTTTGGCACAAGCTTGCTTCCAGTACGTTCTGAAGGTGAAATACATCAGAGCAGAGCAGCCTCTTCCTCATTCATTTGCTCGCTTAAGCTAGGACTATAAAGCTAAAATTCCTTTTTTTCTTAAGCTAAATGAAGAATTAAAACTTCAGCACCTTCTTGTATGACTTGAAACTGTGGGGGTCATCTGTCTCCTCACACGATTTTTCCACTTGGCCCAGCAATACTGTGGGAGAGAAAACAAAAAGACACATACAGCAAAAGAAGAAACCCACTGATTTTTAAGTTACAAGCTTCTTAAACAGGCAGCTTCAGAGACAGGAGGCCCGCGAAAGAAAAGCTGCCATTCCTCACAGAGAACTCGCCATGGAGACAAATACACGTTAAGGCGGGTTTTATCATTTCCGCTATTTTTATTGATAAAAAAACAACCCCCAGGACGTCGGCGCCCGGCGAAAAGGGGGTCCCTGGTGCCCCCCAGCCCCTGTCACCGCCAGGGTGAAGGAAGGTCCCCAAGGAAGGTCCCGGGCAGGACTCGGCACCCACCGCTCCGGAGGCCGGGGAGGCCGCGGCTCCCGCAATGGCGGCTCCGCTCCGCCCTCACCGAGGGGCCGTTCCCGCCGCCGGGCTCTGGGCTCCGCCTCCTCCTCCTTTTTCTCCTCCTTCTCCTCTTCTCCTTCCTTCTTCTCCTCCTCTTCTCCTGTCTCCTCCTTCCCCGCTTTCACCTGCTCCGCCGAGCCTGCTGGGAGGCAGAGCCGGCCCTCAGGGGGAAGGCGGGCTCCGCTGTGGCGATAGGAGGGGCGGGAATGGCTTCCCGCTGCCCCAGAGCAGCGCTAGGCGGGATGGCAGGGATAAATCCTTCCCTGTGAGGCTGCCGAGGCGCTGGCACAGGCTGTGCCCAAGGCCGGGCGGGCTCGGAGCCGGGGTTTGGCCCTGGCTGTGCTCACCTGGCCGCAGGTACCCAGGGCACATCCCGCCTCAGGTCCTCCTGCAGCATGTCGGCGTGCCGCTCAAAGTCGTGCTCCAGGGCCTGCAGGCTGGAGTCCAGCTGTGCGAACCGAGCCTCCAGCCACAGCAGCCTGCTCTCCACTCTGCGCCGCGCAAAACGAGAGGAAAGTTAATTTCGGGAGGATTTGGGCCTTTCTGCACTGACATTGCATTGCGAGCAGCTCCACACCCCGTTCCGGGGGTCCTCCCAAGATTTGTGAGAACCCCATTAAAAGTCAAGGTATATGGTCACATTTTTTTGGCCACATCTTTTTTGGTCACGTTTTTTAAGTTCTCTGCGTCACCGTTTCCCTGGTGCAGAGATCTTAAAATCGCCAAATAACAGGCAAAATTAATATAGAAGATATAGTTGCAGCTCTCAACCATCTGCATTACAGGCGTTTCTCCAACACATTCTGAGGTGATTTATGCTTCTATTTGTAATGTCATGGTCTTTTGGACCATTTTCATTTAACATTGAGCAGAACTTCTCGTTACTCCTGTGGTTAAAAATTATACAAAAAATAAACAAGCTACCTGCAGTGGATTAACAGGACTGTCCTTCCATGGAACAACTGTGATAAAAACTACTTCATAGCTTGTGATTATCACCTGCCTTCTCATTTTTTGGTATCTCATATTATGAAACACCATGTATCTCATATATGTCCATGTACCATATGCCTCATATGAGATAAATACCATGTGTCTCATATAATGAAATATTTTATTATTTGTGTTTTTCCCTATTTAAAATTGTAAATTATAAAAATGAGGTTTTCAAGTTTGAGCCGCTCTGCTTTTGTTGAAGAAACCTGCCTGGTTTAAAAGAACTTGCTGTGTTGAGAGGAGAATGCAAATATTTATTTTTGTACCCATTTCTGTCTTTCCTGGAGATAAAGGGTGTGCTGGGCTTCTGTCACTGTGGGTGGTTTTTGTAAAGACAGTTTTCTCCACATTTTCCTCAGTTACCTGATTGACATCAAGATGTGTTCTTGAGAATCCTGAGGGTCTGAAAGCTAATGTAAATAATTCAACGTTCCTTCCTAAATACTGAACAAGTATCTCAGTACTGTGTACTCAGTAGTGATTTCCTAGAAGACTATCACCTACTCCTTACAGGATTTTTGGTGATTTTTGTGTTTATTTTACTGGCAGAACTTCAGGCTGTATCAGCTAACAACAACTATACTATCAGCAAATATTATTACCTACATATTTTTATCTTATTTCATTCCTAGTTTGCTTCATTGCTTCTGTTACTATTATTATTGTATTGTTTTTATGAGTTCTGAATTGTGACCTACCTGTGTGAAGCACTCTATTCATGTTTGTTGCCCTATTACATATATCTTGGATAAACTTTTTGTAAGGACAAAAATACACAGCAGCTGGTGATGACATAAAAAAAAAAAAGCCAAAACAAAACCCTTCAAACATTTTTCCATTCTTTGACACATATGCCACGGTATTTTAATGCCTGTTGTTCTAAGAGATGACCAAAATGCCATTTTTTCCTATCAGCAGAGCCTGCTTCTACTCCTGCCTCCCCCTTCTCCAAACTAAACCCTATTTTGCATTGTCTGTAGCTGACCTGAATGAGGAGAAAATAAAAATACTTCAACAGTGGCATATTTTACTTAGTATCCCCGACCATAATGACTTTAATTCATTGTCTGGCCGTGCAGATCCTCGTCTAACGATTTTCTTTCTTTTGTTTCCTGAGGCTTCCTCTGCAGCCTGGTGAAAGCTCATCTTACTGCGGTAGAACTCCTCTTGCTTCAGCAAGAATTTTGGGACGAAAATAGAACTTTAATTGGAAAATTAAGCTGGTGTCGTGTAGAAATGTAGGGAGTTCAGAAGAACTGGAAGGGTTGATGTGTCATAATTGGATCGAAACTGTCAGCACAGAGAGAGCAAGTGCAGAAACTGAGGTGAGGTGAGTCGGGTTTGCAGTGAATGACTTTCAGAGCTGGGTTGTCAGATAATGAGTGTTCTTGCCGGTGAATTGCTCCCTAGTTTGCAGCTTTTTATCATGGTAAATAAGCTTCCCCTTGGCCCATTCTCCAGCTTCCTCCTTTACCAGAAAAATTCAAGTTATCCAAGATCTCATCACTAATGCTACTCTCAGTGCAGCAGTAGTTTCTCAGCAGCCTTCAATCCAAGGCTTTACTATTTGAACAGTTTTATCTCTCAACCATTTTTTTTTTAAATTGCCTGTCTGTAAATTTATCTTCTGTATTTTTAAGCAGCTGCAACAAACATATCAGCATTAGCCAATTTTGGATCTAAAAATGTCTGTTCAGTTATACCACAGTAGATCCATAGCTGATCTCCCACAGCTGTAACAGAATTCTGATAGACTGAGTGCTGCTGCCTCCTGATCTAAGTTTGGAATGAAAAGAGGAAGTATGGATTAAACCTCCTGCTTTCATTTCCATCATGACCTCTGAACACTTTTTCCTTCAGTGTAAGTGAGGTTACCACTAAGTCAGTGATCTCTAACTCTGACTAGTGTACACAAAAACCACATCCCCATTCTTTACCAGAAAGCTTTTAAAATTCCCCTCTTAATTAGCACACAGAACATACTTGGAAGCCATGCAGTAGAAGCTCCAGCATTTTCACTTCTCTGGAAGTGTGGTTCTATGTGAAACCTTATTTCTGTTATTCAGATATTTACAGAAAATGACATTTTAGAGCTGTCACGTGGGTTTGATTTTCCAGGCCAGTGCAACATCCTGCACTTCTCCAAGCTCTCCCCATTCACCCACTCCATGGTAGGTTAGACACACTTCTTCAAGTAATTTCCCACAGAATTAGATTTCACTTTTTTCTTTCAGGAGTTGTTTCATCGTTTTTCTCTCTGGGAGGGTCTCCAATAGCTACTTTTGTGTTCACCATCATGTGAATCAGAGTCATAAAGGCTGTGGGTGAACCAGCAGTATGAACAGTATCTCAACAAGAGAAGCAGTTTTCTTTCCAGGTCTGTCATCTATCTATCTGTCAACACATAATTATTCATTTCCTAAGCAGAAGTACTGCATCCCATCAGCTGTGATACTCTTGACAGGAATCCTTTTTACTGCAGGTAAACCACAGTTGTGTGTATGGCACCTGATTTGATTTTAAAATGTCTCAACACTGCATAGTTTGCCTTTAAATGTAATGTAATGTAGAATCCCAGAATGGTTGAAAGGACCTTAAAGTCCACCTCATTTCATCCCCTGCTATGGGCAGGGACACTTTCCACTAGCCCAGGTTGCTCCAAGCCCCATCCAACCTGGCCTTGGACACTTCCAGGGATGGAGCTTCTGTGGGCAGCCTGTCCCAGGGCCTCACCACCCTCACAGTTACATGAAAATCCACAGAGTGGGGACAGTATCCTTCCTGCCTGCCTCTAATGCTGAGAATTTCAGACCCTTTTTTGACTCTTCATCCTGAAGGTCCATGCTCATGTCTTTATATCTGCTCTGAGCCACCACCACTGGTGCCTGCTGCTGCACAGCCAAGCACAGACCAGTGCCAGCAGGGGCAGCTGAGGCTGGATTATTTTTCAGCAAGTCTGTGAACGTGGTGGTCACGTTCCTCTGCCAACTGCAGGCTTTGGAAATGGAGGGTGAATCAGCATCACCTATGTCCTGCTTCCCCAGTCATGGTAATTTGCTTTCCTTAAACTTGTAAGAAAGGTCTCTTCTTGGGGGTTTTTTTGCTCACGATAACCACTTACTACCTATCTTTGAACCTTCCAGATGCTGAGGCATGGTCTGAAAATCAGAAGTTCACCTCAAATCCCCAATCAGAACACCAAGCCCGAATTTCAGAGTCACAGAATATGCTGAGTGGGAAGCGATCCACAAGGATCCAGCTCCTGCCCCCCACCTCCCCCCAGCAATCCCACCTTGTGCCTGAGAGCGTTGTCCAAATGTTCCTTGAGCTCCAGCAGCTTTGGTGCTGTGACATTCCCTGGAGTGCCTGTTCAGTGCCCGACCACCCTCTGGGGGAAGAACCTTTTTCTAATATCCAACCTCAACCTCCCTGACACAACTTAAGGCCATTCCCTCAGGTCCTGTCACTGGGCACCACAGAGATCAGGGTCTGTCCCTCCTCCTCCCTCACAAGGAAGTTGTAAACCTCAGTGAGGTTTCCCCTCAGGGCACTGAACAGACCAAGTGCCCTCATTGCCTGGTGCCACTTCATGCAGCTGCAAATCCTGCAGCAAACAGCCAGGATTGCAGCCAGGGAATGACCACCACCATGGAGCTCATTGCTCTGTCCCTCTTTCCAGTGAGGGAAGGAGAGATGAGCCTGTTCATGAGCCCCTCCCTCCCTGTACACACACAATGTGTATTCACACCCTGTTGCCCACACAAGTTTCCAGGGAAGCCCAGTGCTCAGGGGTTGTGTGGTGTCCCGTGGCCCAGCCCTCCGTGCCCTCCCCAGCCCTGCAGCACCTGGTCAGTGTCTCGTTCAGGGAGCGCAGGGAGATGCTGCCTTTCGCCATCTTCCTGGAGAACACCAACAGAAGAAATAAAAGCTCGAGCGGGCTTGCTCCTCTCTCCTGGAGCCGGTAACAACAGCAGGGACAGGGGATCCGAGTCCTGCAGAAGGTTGTTTGTTCCAAGGCTTTTTATAGCCTGGGTATCCAAATATAGGTCATGGATGCACCAACACACGTTCATGGACATATCACACACTGAACCACCCAGCCCGACCTGCCCCCTTCCTCTGCCCCACTGATCCCATGTCTTCACAGATGAACTCATTCACAGGTAACACAAAAGGGAACAACTACACTTTAATCCTTAATTTTTATTTTTTTTTTGCTGTGTTTTGGCTTCAGTTTGGTGTTGTGCCCAGCAGATCGTGTCTTGGGCCAAAGTCTCCTGCTGGAAAAGGATGTACAAGCAGATTGCCTTTGGTTTTTTTAATTAAAAAGGTACGAAGGTAAAATCTGATTTGGATGAGAATGAGTTCTGTTTGGTTGCAGGGAGCTGCTTTGAGCAAAACCAAGACAGTTGAAATCTCTTCCATAAAGGGTGGACAGAGGCTGCACAAACAGATAATGATTTTCTGAAGCTGGGTATGTAAAGAAAAGAGCTGGAAATTTTTCCATAATAATACAGGTCTGGTAACAGCCCAGCTGGTGAAACACAGCAGCATAAACCTCCCCACCCAGTGCAGCAGGTCCTCAGCCAGCACTCGGAATTCAGTTCTGTGACAGGATAAGGACAGCCCAGGAAAAAATCCTTTTTTTAAAATTACTTGCCCACTTCATGGGAAATCCAGCATGAACTGAACATGTCCAGAGCTGCAGCATTTCCACTTAGGTTTTCCTACCTTCAATTTGTAAATGAAGGGAAGTTTCTAGCAAGCCAAGTTCTGCTCATTGTGTTTCAAAGCTTTGGGAAGACAGGAAGTATTTGAGTAAAGAGAAGCTGTGCCTTTGGCCCTTCATATTCCCCTGTGATGGGGGTACAATACACTTCTTGACACAATTTTGTGTGAGTCTGGCACTATTAGAGTGAGTCTAAGGACAAGGGAACAGTGAGAGAGAAAGCATTTATTAAGACAAGTGAAATAGTTCTTTTTCCCAGCTGACCCAGCAAACAGGTGTAACACTTCCCCTGCTCCTTCTTTTGCTGCAGTGAAAAATTTCAATTAGCAAACACAGGGAAACTCATTTGATTACTCGTTAATTGATGCATCTCTAGTCTATGCAGCTGCTGACAGAGTGATGAAAACCAGATTCCACCATGACCAGTTTAAGCTAACTGGGACACAGCTTCATGGGAAAAGTCACACAGAGCACTGCAACAGCCCAAACCACATAGAGCTGAGCCAGTGACAGCTCTGCTACTGTTCAGCAGCTTCACTTAGCATTGTGGGTGTCTCCTTAGCACTAATTTTCTCCTCCAGCCTTAATTACATCAGCTTAGTCATGAACTAATCTTACCCCTAAATATAGAGACCCGTATCGCTTAAATTCAAGCAGTAAACTGCCAACCCTGCATGAGACAGTGGCTGTGAACATAACAGCCACAAAGAACCAGCACCAGGCCAGGGACACCACGAGTGCACAGCAAATCCCTTCCCAGGGAGCCAGAGAGGTTCACTGTCCACTTCACTGTCAGTGGATGCCACTGGCTCCAATAAGTGGTTTTGTCCCCCATACTCCTGTAAACGCCTTAAGTGTTCTTAAGACACCTTAAGGGTGCCTTAAGGTTCTGGCAATGGATAGGCTGATACAGAGCTGGTCTGGTCAGCAACCAACACTCTCCTGGAGCCTTTGATCTCTGCACATGAGAGCCAGTTCACTTTCTCTCCGTGCTCAATGCTGAGCTTTGGCACAACTCCAGGCTGTTCATTTGAGGCCACTTTGTTGAGCTTCCCATCTTTCCTGCTGGAAGCAGCTGCTTGGGCCTTTTTCCTGTGCAGAGATTTTGCTGGACTTTTCTGCTGCTTCCCAACGTTGCTGCTGACATCCCACAGCAAGACTTTCCCATCGTTTCCTCCAGACAACAACCAGTACGCCTCTGGCATGAAGAGCACCTGTGAGACTCCCAAGCTGTGAGCCTGGAACTCCAGCTCACGTTCAAACCTGACCCCAGTGACTCGGAATATTCTGATTTTACCATCTTGAGCTCCGCAGCCGAAGACGTTGCCGCAAGAGGCGACGGACAGGGAATGTGCGAGCGGCGGGTTGAAGAACTGCCCAGCTGACTGTGAGCTCTCCTCCTCCATGTCACACTCCTGCAGGTTCATGGTCCACAAGGGACGAGCTTTCTGCAGGTTCCATAGCATCACCTAGGAAAAAAAAAACAAAAACCAACAGGATGAATCAATAATTTGTGTGTTTTACTTGAAACTGGATCTTTAATAGTAAAATAAACAACCACACTTCTTTCTCTAGCAGAGCAAAGGCTGTGCAGGACTCCAAGAAGTGTAAGGCATGTGGTGAGGAGTGGTCAAACTTGCCCTAATAAATGTAGCAAATCCTTCTGGCCTGCTTTCCAAAGCCCCACCACTCTGCAGTCAATGACTCAGACCTTTAGACCACGAAAGAGGCAAACACTGCTCTAAAAGCTTTTGCATTCATCTCAGCAATAGTAATCATGACATACTGCACATCAATTATTGAGGAGGAGGGACATGGAAACTCTAGTAGTGAATAGAGATCATTATCATTCTGGATTTCTGTCTCTACTACTTGGCCTAAAATAGTCACTTCCACGAACTTGTCTGAAAAATGGGACAGCAAAAGGCTGTGGTTTTTGAACATGCATATTTGTATTTATTTTTATATCCAGTGAGTAGATCTGGTTTGTGCTGTGGAGTAGGGCATGCTTTACCTGCTGAGATGGGACAGGTCATGCTTTTAGACTTCCTTTTCCACCCCACTCCCAAGCCCCAGTGAAGAATCCAGTGTCTCTTGTACACATTTGTACTGAGCCAATTAAAAATAATGCTCTCAAGACTTTTGTAGGATCTGAATTGACAATGAGCATTCTCAAGGCCAACAGATGGAAAAGCACAAGTCAGTCTAATGCAGCACTGGTGTACTGTTTGCGTCATAAAGCTAAGCTTCAATTTGTTATTAATCAAAATATTCCTTTGGTAGTAATCACCAATAAGAAGTACAGGAGTCTTTAAATTTAGTTCACAAAAGAGCCTGGCTCTGCATTCCTGCAATCCAAATCACAGTAAAACATCTGAAATGCATTTCCTCTCACCTTATTGTTTCAGTGACTGCTGCACTAAAACTACTTCCACAACAACTGTGATTTACTGTAAATCAGAGGGGCTGGGTGATGCTTACAGAAAATACTCTTGTTTTCATTACAGACAGCACTACAACAGCCTGATGAATCCATCAACTGCTAATGAGTTTTCTGCAAACTAAGTATTTTCTGTCCTCGTGGCATTTTCCCTGCTTCATCAGAACTCCTGAAAGAACTCCAGCAACCTAAATTTCAACTCTCATCAGCCACAGCTTCCCCAAGGGTTTGACAAGCCCAGAACATGTTTCATAGAGCTCATAACTTGTCCAAAGGCGTGGTGCAGCACAGGGCTTTAGAATTCTGCAGCGAAGCGCCCCTTTGGGAAATGATGTGTCTTAAATGCAGCCTCAATGCAGAATGATGCTCTTTTCACTGTACAAAAATGAACGAATGAAATGCTCGTTTAGGATACTGACTTTCACCTAAAAACCAACTCGCTGAGCTACAATGAATGAAACTAATTCTAGAAGTCACAAAAATAATCAGCTCGCTTCTACCTAATTGTACATGAATATTTACAATTCTGAAGAAAAGTTTCCAGCCACAAGCTTGTGTATGTGCATTTTAGGGACTAGAATGAAGCCAGCTGAAGGACTGAATGCTTTCTCCTCCCAGACGGGATCTATCATCATGGCTTTAACACAGAAAAATACAATTTATACTAAATACCAGCATGTATTGGGTGTGAGATGTACTTTGGTTTCAAGAACACAGGGTGAAACTGCTCAACGCCGTCACACAAACTTCACTCTGACACAGCTGGAACCACAGAAACCTTCGAGAAGTGACAGTTTTCATATCGGGCTAAAGCAGGAACGTGGTCAGACCTCAACCACTGGAAAGAAATTACTGAAAAATATCTGTTCTGGGTGGCCAACTCTGGACTTAACTCCTAGCATGGTTCTCAGAATGCAAAAGACAAAGTTTCCTCTTCATGAGGATAGAAAAGTTTAAAAGGTAAAGAACATTTCATGTTTCCAAGATGCTAACAGAACAAAGGATAAATTACACAACTCACTTGTCCTCACAGTGATACAATCCCCTTGGAAAGATGCTGCTTTACATGCCTGCCTCAAGCACTGTGCCTTTTCCTCACCATGCTTTGCATCTCATCTGCAGCCACAACTAGGGACAGCTGCTGACTTTGCTGAGTCCAGCAAAGAGCTAATATGGCACGAGTGAGCTTTGCAGCTATTCTGATTTCCCCTCACTCCACTCGCTTTTGAATTGTAAATGTTAAGGAAGATAAAACCAGGGGCAGAAGCTGCTGAGTAGAAGACAGCACAAAAAGCCCCAACACTTAGGTTTTGGGCCAAAACTACTTCAGAATAGCAAGGGAGCTTTCCGGGGACTGCAGGCTGAACACCTTCATGCTCAGTGAAAGTCTGTGGGTGTTTCACCACACAGGTGGGTAATTACTGTTTCACTTCATTAATAACTGTGCACATGTATGCAAATCACCTGCATGTCCAGCCCACAGGAAACCAGGCTTTGAGGCCGCTGAGGTCGGAAGGCAACAGACGAGCAGATGTTGGAGTGTCTCAAGGACCGGCTGACTTTCTTGCTTTCCAAGTCCACAACCTTTATGGCCCCCGAGTCATCCGCCGCAGCCAGGAAGCTGTCGGTGTCGTTCACCGAGAGGCAGTTGATCTCCTCCTCGTTCACCTGGAAGCGCTGCAGAGGCTCCTGGAGGGAGCGGACATCCAGCACGCTGATGGTTTCTCCATGGGACGTGTACAGCGTGCTGGGGCTGCGGGCGGAGAACAGCACCGAGGTCACGTCCTCCGCCTGCGGGAGCCGCAGCTGAGCCACGGGCGAGCCGCCCCCATCCCACAGCACCAGCTCGCCCCGCTCCGCGCCGGAGGCCACCAGCCCTTCCGCGCTCACGTTCAGGCACAGCACAGAGGAGGAATGTCCGCCGCTCCACTTCACTGCCATGCTTCAGGGACACCCCTGGAATAAATAAAAACAAGCCCTGGAATGAGGTGGTTGTTGGTCTCATTACAGAAGAAACTTATCAAGCAACAAGATCGTCCTGCAAACACTTGAAACTCCAGTGTGCGGTTAAACCTGGCACCTCGACAGCTCAGTACCCAAGTGGAGCTTTCTTTCCCACATCAGGCACAGCCGCGGTGCTGACCGGCCTATTCCAACCTAAGCAAGAAGTCTTTTTAAAAGAAGCATTGCTAATTTAGAACAGGTTGCAACATATTTTATTAGCTCTCAGAGCACACTCATGGCGCTCACCAAGCTTAACCCTCCCTGGTGTGACTGCCCACAGCAAAGTCACAGCACTGCTTAGGGAAGCACATCAACACAAAATTAAGTGAAGGGAGAAAAAGGCAGCACCAAAGTGTTGGAGGGACTGGGACGGTGCGGGGAAAAGGAGAGAGGCACACGCGGTTTGTGTGACAGCCCAGCAGCTCTAAGGTCCGTGCATTTATTTAACTATTGGGCAATAAACGGCTTGTTTCTGGTGCTTTTACCTTTCTTTCTTTTTTTACCATGTTATGTTTCCCATGTGATTTTTGTTGACCTACATCTAAAGAGCAGCCAGAGCCCATTCACTCCACCAGAGGAACTTGGGTCTTGGCGATCAAACAACACCACAGAGAAGGCCCATCCGTTCCCCGTAGCTCGCCTCGGGTCAGATCCGCAGCCGCCGGTCCCCGGGGGCCCCAGGGGAGGAGGGGGTCCCAAGCGAGGAGGGGGCTCCGTTCGCTGCCAACCCCCGGGCCCTGCAGCAGCGGGGTCCGACCGCCCCCCGCCCTGGCAGGCCCGGCCCTGGGGCCGCTCCTGGGGCCGTCCCGGAGGGCTCGGGAAGCGCTGGGCGCCCAGCTCTCACCTCAGCTCCCCTCCGATCCGCCGCGCTCCCCTCGCCTCCCCCGGGCTCCGCTCGGCTCCGCCGCCCCCGCCCCTCGCCGCCCCCCGCGCCCGCCGCGCACGCGCGGGGCGGTGCCCGCGGCCGAGATGGCGGCGCCGCGCGCCCCCGCGCCGTGAGGCCTCGGGCGGCCCCGGCCACAGCGGGCGGGCTGAGGGGAGAGAGGGGGGCGATGGCGGCGGGGCCCGGCCCCGGGCCCGGCCCCGGGGCGGCCGCGGCGTCGTGGGGAGGGCCGGGCTGGCGGCTGCCGGGGCGGGTGTTGGAGCTGGTGTTCTCGTACCTGGAGCTGCGGGAGCTGCGGAGCTGCGCGCTGGTCTGCAAGCTGTGGCACCGCGTCCTGCACGGCGATGAGAACAGCGAGGTGTGGCGCAGCCTGGCCGCCCGCTGCCTGGCCGAGGAGGCCCTGCGCACCGATATCCTCTGCAACGTGCCCACCTACAAGGGCAAGGTGAGGCCGGGACCCCCACCCCGCCGGGACACCCCTTCACCCTCCCCCGACGCTTGGGGAACACCCCCGCAGCCCTCCGGCCCACCCGCCATTGGAGACGAGGGGGCGGGAGGCTGGGAAACATGACGGGGGTTTATCTCCTAGAACCACAATGGTCGGGGTTGGAAGGGACCTTAAAGCTGCCATGGGCAGGGACACCTCCCACTAGAGCTGCTCCGAGCCCCGTCCATCTCCCCCACCCACCTTTTCTCGCCCAGGTCCGTGCCTTCCACCACGCCTTCAGCACCAACGACTGCTCGAGGAACGTGTACATCAAGAAGAACGGCTTCACGCTGCACCGCAACCCCATCGCGCAGAGCACGGACGGGGCGCGCACCAAGATCGGCTTCAGCGAGGGCCGGCACGCCTGGGAGGTGTGGTGGGAGGGCCCGCTGGGCACCGTGGCCGTCATCGGCATCGCCACCAAGCGCGCGGCCATGCAGTGCCAGGGCTACGTGGCCCTGCTGGGCAGCGACGACCAGAGTTGGGGCTGGAACCTGGTGGACAATAACTTGCTGCACAATGGAGAGGTGAACGGCAGCTTCCCCCAGTGCAATAACGCGCCCAAATACCAGGTGAGGGGGTTTGGAGTGGGCTGGGAGGTGCTGGCTGTCCCTCGCTGTCCCAACTGCCTGCTGAATTGCTCCTAAGTGACCCTCAAAGGTCTCTTTGCCTTCCCTGCAGAAGGCAAATGATTCCACCTTGTCAGCCTTTCCCCCTTTCATTTACTGCTTCCACAGGCTACACCTGTCTGGTGTTCAGTGCACCTGACCCTGGGTTGTTTCCACACTTTAATCTCAAACATTGAGTTTCAAACCTGTACTGCGGGTGTCTGCTTAGACCTCGTGGTGCTTTTTTTGGAATAAAACCTGAAAAGGCTGTTGTAGCTTTCTGAAGTAGCGACTTGCCCCACAGCAAGGTGAGTGTCTGAGGGCTTGTACCCCTTTGTTGTCTGGCAGGGTGAGCTGAAGTTAGTGCTTAGGTGAGAGTCTTCCTGCAAAAACCTGCAGCAGTGGTGATTGCTGCTGCTTTGCTCACTGGCCACCATCCCGTGGGTGACATCCCTTATCTGATGTTCAGGTAACTTCAGGGTATTAAAGAGCAGAGGCCACCTCACTTTTTTGTCCTTACAGAAGTGCTTGTCTTGTCGTTCTGCCTGCTCACACAACTGCCTTTTCACTGCTGGATTTGCTTGTGTTATAACTTAAACTGGAACATTGTAATTTCAGTCTCATATTCAGAGAATGAGTTAGAAGGGACTTTAAAAATAATCCAGTCCAACTCCCAGTGCTGTGGCTTTGTACTGGCTTACGTTTCACTTGTGGGTGAAGATCTGCATAGCACCTTGTGTCTGATAGTCCTAAATTCTGTGTGAAAGTTCAAATCGGTGATCCTTTGGTGCATTTTGTGTTTATTAAGACGTGTGCAGTGATCTGCTCATAGAAAACGTGTTTACAGGGAACACATGTGTGTGTTAGTGTTGGCTGGAAGAAATTCCCAGTGCTCGGGCTGGCTGGAGAAGAGTCAGGAGTTTGTGTGGTGCCTGCTGTGCTTGTGGCTGTTCTCTGGGACTTCCATTGATATCTGAAATAACGTTTGCTACATAAATGAAGGGAGCTCTGGGCCTGCCTGGATCCAAGGCTCCTGCTGGGGTCAATGTTGGTTTAACTTGTGTGTATGTATATATATATTTTTTTAGGGTTTTCGTTTTACATTTTGTACTGAAATTTCCTTTTACCGTGGGGAGGGAACACCCCTGTCAGCGACAGCACCTGAATATTAGTCTATTCTGGGATTTTTTTTGTAGGTGGCACTTGCCTTTCTTAAATCCATTGTCTTTAAAAATGCTCCTCACAGAGCAGTTGCTGCTCAGCAATAGCAGCAGCTGAGCACAGAGTTCAGGTAACTTGGAGCCCCTTGCAAAGATTCCAAAAGCTCTGCAGTATTTCCCAAGCACACAGCATGCAGTGCCTGCTCTCAGTGTTGTCACAGCTTCATATGGGAAGGGTCATGTTTATTATCATAAACGGGTGGTGGATGCAGGCTGTCCTGCAGCAAAGGTACTCAGGATCATGGTGAAACTGAGAAATTCCTGTCATAAGAGCAGTCAGTCATGAGACACAAGACAGCCCTGCTTTAAAATTCTCTGCTACTTTACACTTCGCATTATTTTTGTTTCCATCTGAACATGCTGACTCTTTCTGTGTTTTATTTTTATTCCCCTTCCTGTCTCTGTTTCCAGATAGGTGAAAGGATTCGAGTTATCCTGGACATGGAAGACAAAACATTAGCATTTGAGAGGGGCTATGAGTTCTTGGGAGTTGCCTTCAGAGGACTGCCAAAAGTTTGCCTGTATCCAGCAGTGTCTGCTGTGTATGGTAACACAGAAGTGACTTTGGTCTATCTGGGAAAGCCTCTGGATGGATGACATGGATTGTTTCGTTGGGACGTCGAGATGTGGATGTTTGGGAGGAGAAATCTGCATGTTGGTTAGAGGGAAATGTGTGTTAGAGGAAAAAAAACAACAAAAAGGTGTGGGTGTGTGTCCAAGAGCCATCGAGGCAACCACGTGGAATTTGGAAACGGAGGACCAGCCGTACTTCAGAAATTGTGTTACATTTCCTCTTTCTACCA